ATTGGGCATGTATCAGATTGTTCCTGATATAAACTGTCCAAGGAAAACATTGAAAAAATGTCTTGCAAAAAGTACAGTTTTTCAAAAGATGATTGCGAATCCAATTTTTCATAAATTGTATCGAGTTTTGCGTGTGCACCAATTTCCTGTGTTTGAAATATTTCGAATCAATTTAGACTAATGAATTGTATCATTAAGTATAAATTGCATAGATCGATTAAGTGTATTTCATAATATATATAATATTCACAAGTTGCCGCATTTATCTAGAGACACGTTGAACTAGTCGACAGCGGCGCGGCATCTCTAAAGCGCAGCGAGCGAATAAGTACACGTTCACGTTTGAGCTTCTTTCTTTCTAATCTTTACAGTGTCCTGCTTGAAATGTGATTTACAGGTATCGTGCTTGTCAAAAAAGTATCTTCTTAACGCAGAGGAGGATACTTAAATTCAGTTTTCAATCGCTGAATTCGAAAGTGACATTTATTTATTCGTGGTAAATTTGCTTATACCGTCAGGTAATTACTTTAAGTCTACATTTTTAATAAAGTGGTGTCGGTATCTTTCCCACGCAAAAGAATATAGGTTGGTCCAGAGAATAATAATAAGGAGTGGTGAAGGTATTGCACGTCTAGGCCTAACATTACAAAATCATCGAGGGACATCAATTCCTTATTTCGCGCAAGAAAATTTTAGTTGAAAATATTTCGAATCGAACTTCCGTCAAAATTGGTGTAAAGTTCACATTATGAAACTTCGATACCTATCAAGCAATTTCCCGTAGCCTTAACTCTGAGCTGAACCATCGTTCGTTATGGATAAACCAAGTTTCTTTCAGCGGCTGTTTAATCGAATACAGTAGAATATTTAAATAAAATGGTTAATGAAACTATCTAATCATCACAGTGGTAGCATTAACTTCTGTCATTTGATGAAATTAAACTAGCAATACTTCAATTAAGTATTGACTCGAATTAAGTATTGATTTCAAAATGACCCGAGCGCCAAGTCCTCTCCGATGGCTCAACAGTTGAGGCTTGGCTTCGCAAGCTTTAGATCGGAGTTGGAATTCTGCAGGCTGGGACTTTTCTTTAAGTAGATTTTTCACGAGGTATGTGTATGGTACTGTGATAATTTTCTCCTGTTACATATCTGACATTGTTACTTGTACCACCATGGTGTATGCGCATACGTAGTCTTTAGAATGTGTGATCGTATGAAGTATTGCTTCAGTAAAAGCTAATGCATCTGATTTGAAACAAACGGAAACTTTCTTATCGACTTAATTTTAAAGGTGGCCATCAGTGGTTCATCGATGCGCCACCGGTGTCAATGGGTTGGTATTGGCGGAAGATGAGTTTTTCGGTTAGAAAGGCCATCAGCAGGTTATAGGTGGAACATAGGCCGGACACGTCATCGATGCCGCATCGATGCGCAATCTGTGCTTCACCTATAATTTCCACCTACAGTCACTAGAATAATCATTGATGTTCCACCTATAATTTTTATTTGGGGATGGTTGTGCTTGTTGCAAGCGAATGGAATGCCGGTGTCAGCAATAATGCTTTCAGCTTTTCTAATGCCGACTTACATCTTTGAACAGTCAAATAATTATACATAGATTCACGAATATTATGGCGCAATAATTCACTAGATAATGCAGTTGGCTGAATGTGAAAATTTTTGAAATGAATCTATTACTTGATCTTTAATTAAAGTTTGCAATGTGGTTCTTATTTGGCAATGGATCTTCGCACAAAGCTGTGAAATTGTGTACAAAAATTCAATTCGGAACATTTTAATCCAAAGTTGCACCAAAAGATGGGTTCGAAATTAATTATTTCTTAAGGTCTAAAGTCCAAATACGTTCTTTATACTTTAGCAACTGCAACCTTGTTGTTGTATTTTTAATAGATTTTCATAAATCCAAGTTTAGTGCTTGTCTATAGCAAATAGAAGGCGCCTTTGCGAACAAACTGTACATGTGATACTTCATACATGACCAGGCATGTTCATGAGAACCAAAATTCTCATGTGGTGCTATTACACTCAAGGCCACTCATGTTCGTTCGAACCAAAATGATCATGTGCATGGTATTTAACATAAGACCACTCATGTTCGTGCGAACCAAAATGCTCATGTGGTAGTGCACAAATGACCATTTATATTCATGCGCCAAAATTCTCGTGGGATACTACAAAGAAAACTCGAGTTCTAGTCAAATTCATCCAAGAAAAAGTATTTCATTGACATTCGATACTTTTTTTCCTCAACTGAAGTTAGCGTTGCTGCAACGTCTTCGGTTGTCTGGCCATCGCTTTCCCCAAGTGTTGTTGGACACGCAATTCCAGCTTCACGGCCCATTCAAAGTGCTCGCTACTACGCAGCCTCCTCAAAACTTCTTTAATTGAACGCATTAATCTCCTGCAGTGACCTTTTGCTTCTATTGCCGAGATGAGCCGCTGTAACTGAACGAAAACGTCCCATCACGGTTTCCTGAGGAGCACTTCCGTGCGAGTATGAATCATTTAGGGTCGTTGTAGTTTTATTAGGCGAGATGGTGGTCGATTAGCATTCTAATTGGGCCAGGGCCCTCGTCTAAGCTTCCTTAATAGGGATGCTCCAGCGGGGCCATGCTTCATAAAGTTGCACGGAAAGAGAAAATGTCACAAACTTCGATGAGACTCTCAGACTTTCATTCCGCGCAATAATTCACGTAAATCCTCGGATTTTACTAAACTAGACATCATACATGAATATTCTTGTGATGCTCCCCTCCTTTATCGGGGGAAGTAAAGGATCGCAGACTAGGGCCATTTTTGCGATGCTTCTGTCGAGGGAATGAAAGGTAATGTTAATGAGAAATTGTGTGTGTTATCGCGTAGTTTAACTACACATCTTTATTAACGAGCCTCTATTATATTAATTTAAAGGGTGTTCTTCGTACATTTCAGTAGTTGTAGGTCTTGCTTATTTTCTTAAAATTTCCAAGTCAAATTCATCAGTTAGAATTCAATGATGCCAGATGGAATATCTCTTCTCCCGCTGATGATGATTTATTCATTGATAAGAAAATTATTATCTGGAAGTAGAAATTATTAAGGAAAGAACTCGTCAATTATTTTTAGCTTAACATTATGAGGCGTAATATTTCTGTTACATTTGTTTGTTGTTCAAAAGTTTTTTAATATAGAGCTTACCGAAGTTAAGAAATGCTTTTACGTTTGATTGGTGTGTAGAGAAGAACTTCAGTGGAGAGATTAATACTTTGGTTCAAACTCATTACTCAGACTGGGAGAGAAGATGGAACTTGAAGAGTTGATGGCCAAAGTTACATATTTATATATTTACCGTAGTCTCCAAATGCAGACATGACATTATTTTTTTTTGTTAGTCAAGGATGTAATGAGGTATTTTAAAGTGTTTATTGTCACTGCGCGAATATATATTTGGATCGTTCCTATAACCCCAACAAAGTAAAGCCCATTGAGTTCTGAGTAAGGGATAAAACTCTTGTTAGGACATGGAAATATTTATTTTCTCGGCCAATAGTATTTGGTTCTTCCTCAATAGCATTCGTTTCCTCGTCCATGTGTTCGCCTCATCAGTGAATAATACACTTGACTAGAGTCTACGGGTTTTAAACCGAATATTTCATTTATTCGTCAGACCGCTGCTAGATAAGTCGTGAGACCGGATTATAATCATTTATGTAGGAGTATTTTTTGATATTGCAAGAAACCACTTCCACTTTTTTTTTAAATCATCCAATAAAATTGAATTCTAGCTAGTGTCTGAGTATTAGGAGCCTTCTGGCATTTGCTTATAACTTCATCTTGGGACTAACTTGAACTTATTCATATAATAATTATCGAGTTTTCTGTCATCGCTCCAGTTAAAAGTAATGTATTTTTCAGAACATTTGTTGTATTATTTGAAATAATTTTCCATTTATTATTCGCTTGTTGTAGGTGTTTGTCGTACTTCGAATTTCCGATATTACAAGGTGACTTTTAATTTATTTACAAAACTCATTTAACATGTGCCAACTTTCTTGCATTTGCTCTTTTAATTTTATTCTCAATTAGTTATTCAATCATTTTATGTTCGTTAAAAAGTTATTATTGGTAGTTGAACTTATAAAATTGCCCACATAAATGGACATCCTCCGGCAGAGGGGGCTTATAAAGAGACTAAACATAGGATATGCGTGAATTATTATTACATGTATCTCAATGAAGTGTATATAACATAATTTTTTACATGCTGGATGATTTTTGGAATCTTGAATTTTTTCTAAATTAACGGAATTATACGCAGTACTTTTAGACGTTGTCCCTAATTTAAGAATGATCTTGTTCTTTAATTTATTTGCATAAGGTTTTCCTAGTGTTATTGGATAATACTAGTAATTTGCAATATTTATAGGGAATTACGAAAAATTTATGTTTGTTAATGGAAATCTTTTTGCTCCTTTTCTCACTAGATTTTTATTAGAATTGCATCATTATATAATGATAACTGAGAAAATAAGTGAGGAATTATATCATATTATAATATATATAATTATTTATATTATATTACATATTATATGTAATAAAATTAAAGCTTTTATAAATAAAATTCCCTGTTATCATACTAAAATTTACTTAATTATTTCCTTGCCACAATTTTCTTTAGACGTGAGTGCGTAAGACAAGTTATAAACCAACTTATAATATATGCATGGATAGCCACCTGAGCTACAAAAATGCTCAGGCTAAAAACAATTTTTTCAAATGTCTAGAGCGTTTCATATTTTTACTCTTCATAATATTAATATGTGCGTAGGAAAAAACTTATTTAGTAAACATTTACGTCAAGTGCATTTACGTCAAGTTTATTTATTTTTCTAACGCACTCTATATATTTCACAATATCTCGAGGAGTTCTTCTCAGTTTAAGCATAAAGGCTAAAACCAATTTGCGCTACTCTCTATATATTTTTATGTCACCACAGGACGTACCTGATCGCAGTGCCGCGACACGTGCACGCAGGCCGCGTGTTCCGCATCGCCGTCAACATCCTGCCGCCCTCACCGGCGCTCGTCATCCGCGCCGCGCTCTTCCGCGACAACATCGAACTTGCCGCCGTCGAGCGCGAGTGCGAGCCTGACCTGCTGCAGCTCATCGAGATTATGGTGCGTATTGTGTGTAAGGGATAGGTTATTAGTACGCTTGGTGCGCATTTTGTGTAAGGGATAGGTAATTAGTACGCCTATCATTGATGAGATTATCTTTATTACAGTGTGCGGGTTAGCAATTCGAACAATTACCATTGAATCATTTAGGATGCTACTTATTATGCTTGAGGATTATAATTACTATTAATTTTTGAGTTGTTTCCGCATTTCTATTCCTCGTGCAATAATTATTGAACATATAATAGTAAGTATTTATGACAATAGTTGATAATTTTTGCAGTGTTTATTTTACTTACAGAATCTCGTAGTACCATCCTTGTTCTTTATGAACGAATACTCCGTTATGAGCTTATTTAACAGACCTGATTAATTTAATAATTATTGACCATTACAATTATAGATCTTGAAGACTCTCGGTGTCTCTCTGAAAAATAATTTCTTCCTGTTTTTATCATGTTTTTATAGATATTGTTTTCTTACCTATGTGTATCGAATAATCCAACTACCAGATCGGTTGAATTTGTCTGGCGTACAAAGCAAAGTTTTTCTAGACGTGACAAAGTTTTTGCTCTTCCTGGTGTGTTGCAATTACAATATAGCCGTACCACTCGACCCTTACTGAGAATCATCGGAGGTTTATTAGTAGCTGACCTTCTGTCACAGAATGGCCACCCATATCACGGTCAAGATTTTACGCAATGCTGGCGCCTGTGTTTGGTGCCAGCTTGATATATTTCTTGCTCGGTCGTCACGAGCCCGGCGCTCAGATTAAAATTTACTGCTCAAGTTAGAGTCGCTGCGCTACTCTTGATGAACGCGGGAATAGTTTTATGGGGACGTTTTCTGACGCCGTCCTCAGACTTCAATGGGTGCAGCTAAAACTCTAATGAACTTGCCCGCAGAATTACGAAGCGCTCCTGACAAGTTTACTGTAGAGTTGACTTTATCTTAATAGACACTCTTGGCTTCGTCAGTTTAGTTAACCTGCAGTCTGGGGAAGTGGGACTCTTCTCCACAAGTGTTATCGGAATTTAACCTACAGTCTCTTTGCATTGGAAATATTGGAAGACTCAACAAACTTGTAAAAGGTTTTGAATGCAAAACTATTGGTTCAAACAAGAAATAGTAGAAGACCTTTTTACAGTTCAAATTCTTCATTATTCGATTAATAGATGTTGACTAAAACTTTAGTAGCTTCTACCAATATTTCTATAAAATTACCAACATTTTGAATTGCTTTCTAGAATCCACGCTTCTTACCTGCTGTTCCCAGTATCAACAGCCACAATATTACCTGTTGCTTCCAACACCTATCGTTTTAGTGGCTGCAACAAATTAATTTTATAATCACTCGTAGCCATCGATCCAATGTTTCAGCCTATGTTGGCTCCAACAGCATAGGTTGCACACATTGTTTTTTTGGACACGTCACTGTACCATGTCCGGCTGCTCCTCATGCAGTGTATTAGGTAAGTTTGTGTGCAATATCAGACGTTGGCAGCTGTTGCAGCTGAGGGTTCAAGGAAGCCAATATACCTCAGGCCTCTCGTCCATCACTCACTGCTGAGGCTGAGAGCCTCTCAGATGAAGCTGTGAAGCAGCAGATGTTCTATGTTACACACCCAATAAGACGTATATTTGCTGGCTTGTCCGTGGCTGTTGTATGGCCGGCGGTCGGCCACCGATAATACGGCCAAGAGTTTTGTTGTTCGCCAAATCATATTGCGAAATCCACCTCTTTATATTTTTGATTGCAAAGAGCATTCCGATTTATTTCAAAAAATCATTTTATCCATATTCACTAGGTTATGAGTTTATTTCTTATGTAAAAGGAACAAGTGTGAATTATTTATTATATATTTATTAATATATGTTATTTCAGCCACTTTTTAAGAAATAAATTTTATTTTTCTGAGAAGAAATTGTTTTCCTTTATGAGTTTGTTTTCTCAGTTACACGAAAATTAACTTCGGCCTACCGAATTTGTTATTCAGATTTGAAACGTGGCCAAACCGCACTGAGAAATGTATTGCATCATTGTTTTCTTAACTTTCTATCTCATTTTATTAGTGTTTTCCTTTCATTACGCCTCGCTCTGTGTAGTAAAATTATTTGATATTATTTGCTGCTGCTAGCGCTCCATGGTGCATATTGAGGCCGACCATTCCTACAGTTACGGGCAAAAGTTTTAACTTATATCCTGAACTTGGCAGACTTTGTTCCCGCTATTCGTTGAGAATGCATCTCCCGTATGTGTAAGTCTTGCTTTTTTATATTTGTGTCTGCGTCGAAAGTGTTTTGGGTTCTGTTTTATTGTGTAACCCGAATCAACATATCTGGATGGAATTGAAATATTTATACTGGTATGTTATTCCTGGGAAAAAATTTTCTTGGTGAGGGCTAATACTGCTTAAGGCTGAACGGCTGAGACGAAAAAGGAAAAAAGTAATCGTAGTGATTCTGTAGAGTGAAATCGAAAAGATTATTGGGAAATATCTTACAGGAAATATTTACCTGTTCAAAAATTGTTACAAAAATAAGATCGATGTCTGTCTCCTAGTCGATCTTTTACTGGTAAAAGTTATATAATAATAATGCAGCAGTCATTCGATGTCATGTATAACCAAATCAAGATTGATTTCGAACATGGTTAATAATTTTGAAGAATATTTTCTTTTATAAGCCATTCCAGTTTATTGCTTGCTTATCTTGGAAAGAGAAATGTAAGGGCCATTTTTTCAGGGTTGTTCGTGAGCTTTTTTTGAAGTTGTCAAAAAAACTTTTTCTTTCTATGAAAAATATAATATATATATCTCCCAGACAGCAAATTCTTTGCGTGATTTGTTTTACAAATAATTTTCGGTTGCAATTCGTCACTCTATTGCTTAAGATAAGCTGCAGAAATTGAGGCAGATTTCGCAAAGGTTTTTTGCGCATTGGGGACAACAATTCCGTTCAACTAACAAAAAAGTCGCCTCAACACACCTATGACAAATCGAAACAACGGTTTAAGGAAAATCGACAACTATTTTTTAAGCTGAAAATTTTTTTGAATATATGAAAATTATCAGGATAGAGAAATTAAAATGATTTCGATTATATAGCAGAACGATGAAAAAAACGTTCTTCCCGACTGTTAAAAATATCAACTCCTTTTCAAACCTAATAAAGCAAATAGTTTGATTATTAATGAATTATTAAATAATATTCGCTTTATCAACAATATGAAGCTGAACTTCCAAGTCGGTAAACTTTTCTTGATTTTCCTTCCGGACGTTTTTATTCTATACAGTCTGTATCGCGCCATCCGTCATTGAGCGTTCAAAGAGTCTTATTAAAAATATGTCAAGCACAATTAGTGCTTGACATATTTCATTATGACTATATTTCATATAGTCATACTATATTTCATTATGGAGTATAGTATTTCATTCACACTATATTCCATTATGAATATGAAATTGGGGATTTAAAATCTTCGACAATTCGATCACCAGACGTTTATTTATTTTGTAGCCCAACGACAGCGTTCTTGACGCGGAAAATCAAACATCAGAGCAGCACGTTTTGTACGTCACATGTTTCTAAAAAAAGAAAAAGATAAAAAATTAAATTCGTTAACCTAGTTTGCTAGTGACATCAATACCGTCTCTATTCAATTTCAAAATTTTTCCGAAGCGCCGACACCGGATGAACTTTTATTTCGTTCACATGTGTGACGTTACTACTGAATGTTGGTTCTCTAGACTAACTTTATTGTATTAAATCTATCGCCCCCATCGAAAGCTTGAATTTAAAAACACCTACACAAGTTTTAAAACAGTCTCCAATGATAACCATGACAATTTAGATTAATAAAAATTTGGTCTGTTATCGTGCAGGTGCCGAATTCAAGTGGACTCGGCAAGTATCGCCTGAAAGTCGAGGGCTCTGAAGTGGGTTGGCTGGTGGGGTCGGCCTTCAGTAGAGAAGCTCTCCTAACGTTCAAGCCTCTCGGCCCGTCTGTTCTGGTGCACACCGACCGTCCTGTTTACATGCAGGGGGACACAGGTTAGATTTAGAGTGATTAATCGGGTGGTATGTGATTAATCGGGTGAAATGTGATTAGAGTGATTAATCGGGTGGTATGTGATTAGAGTGATTAATCGGGTGGTATGTGATTAATCGGATGGTATGATCATGTTTTATAAATTCAGATGAGAGCGGTTTGATTTGTTTGGATTTGAGCAATGTCAGCATCAACGATTCCGTTCAGTTTTATAGCTGATGAATGGAGTTATACTGGACTATTCAGTCCATAAAATTTCGGTGATGAACTGTTATAAATCAGAAGTTTATTTAATCAGCGATGTGCCAGAGAACTTCCCTTCTGCAAGTTTATGGGATTTTTGTTATGTGTAAAAATTAAAGTTTCTAGGATATGATTTTACTATGGTCTCCCATTATAGCTTTTGAAGAATACTGTTATAATGATATAGATTACTGCTATTTAATTTATTAAGTCTACTTAATTCCTGTCTATTTAATTCCTGTCACCCAATGCCGGATGATTTCAGCCTACAAAGCGAAGAGTTTCATTTAAAATCTCATTTATTGGAGCTGGAATCATTGGTGATGGAGCGTCTAACTTGTCCTCTTATTTTGCTCAGTGCGGATCCGCGTGGTTGGAGTGGACAGCGCGGGACGGCCCGCCCCGGAGTCCGTGGACGTATACATTCTGTCCCCTAGGGGAGTGCTGGTCAGGCGGTGGCTGTCCCGGCAGGTGCGTTGTGGTTCAGCGCTGCCCTGGTAACAATCTAGTACAATTACTCGTGTTCAATGTACACGAAGTACACGAAGGGGGTGAGGGGTAAGCAAAGGCTGCTCTGGTAATAATTCAGTGCAATTACTCGTGTTCAATGTACACGGAGCACATGAAAGGGGGAGGGGTAAGCAAAGGCTGCCCTGGTAACAATTCAATACAATTACTTGTGTTCTATGTACACGAAGCACATGAAAGGGGGAGGGGTAAGCAAAGGCTGCCCTGGTAACAATTCAATACAATTACTTGTGTTCTATGTACACGAAGCACATGAAGGGGTAGGGGTGAGCAAAGGCTGTATGTGTGTTGCCATGACCTGAAGTCAGAAATGAACCTGAGAAATTTCTGATCAATTTAGTTGATGATCTTACAGCCCTTGATCACTCTGATCAAATATAGACATGTATTATGACTCATGTTTGTCGGTATTTCCATTGTGATGGGATAATTGCATGGCAGTATTTGTAATACGTATAGACGAATATACAACAATAATTTTTTCATTATATAAAATCCAAGCGTCCTTTGAAATAATTAATAATTTGTGCAGTTATCATTGGGTCTTGATACCTTTCCATAATTTTCCAGAACAAATTTAGGTAATAATAATTAATACTTGCTTCCATTCAAGCAAAAGCTCGGAAATTATTTAATATCGTACCTGGCCTTCTTCCTCAATCTGATGTCGCGTTTTTTCTGTCGTCTCAAAACCGTGCAATTTAGCAGCAACTATTCAGGTATATTTGCATTTAATTTGCTGCTGATTACAACCGGTCTTTTTTTTGTTCTTCGGCACGACATTATGACAAAGATTAAAAAATCTTTTCCAGGACAAATAAGCTTTCAAGAAAAGTTGCCTTTTGGCTTTATAATTGTCTGTTCCGCATTTTGTTGTGGCCATCAAGTTATTCGAAATAATGAATGCATAAACATTTCATTCACAGTCATATATAAATTTTTTCTCTTAAAAATGAGATGAGAATATTGTTGACTTTTTTAACTCTGTGTACTTCAATATTAATAAAGACATGTTAATAAACAACGAAAATTGCTTATACTTTAATAATAATAAAGACATGTTAATGAACAACAAAAATTGCTTAAATTGGACAATAAATAGGCGAGTGTGTATGTTTGATCCCTGCTCTGCTGGCCGACAGTGCGGGGAGCGCGTCGTGGGCTTACAGTTCCCCTTGAGCGCCGAGCCTGAGGAGGGTCGCTGGACTGTGCGTGTTGAAGAAGCCAGCGCCGTCACTGAGCATCACTTCATCGTCGAGTACTTCTATCCGACCAGGTTTGAGGTGAGAATGGTTTATTGTTATAAAATTAAGAACATTGTTGATATATTCGTCGTCGAGTACTTCTATCCGGGAAGGTTTGAGGTGAGAATGGTTTATTGTTATAAAATTAGGAAAATTGTTGATATTTTCATCGGCGAATACTTATTTTGCTTCATTATTTCATCGTAATCTCATTCGTGTACTATCCGACCAGGTTTGAGGTGAGAATGGTTTATCGTTTTAAAATTAAGAACATTGTTGATATAATCGTCGTCGAGTACTTCTATCCGACCAGGTTTGAGGTGAGAATTGTTTATCGTTTTGAAATTAAGAACATTGTGGATATTTTCGTCGTCGAGTTCTTCGATCCGACCAGGTTCGAGGTGAGAATTTCTCATCGTTAGTACTATACAGAACACTGATGATATTTTCAACGTCATGACTTTCGTTACTAAAATTCGCATCTATGATGTATTCGCACATTAACGCTACATTATTCACTTAGATCAATTGATGCTCTGTTACAGAAATCTAGAAAGCGCAGTTCTTTAAATCTCTTTTATTATTGGAATAGATTTTATAAATGCATCGAAGGCACATGGTTAAAAGGAAGGCGCACCCTTTACTCCTATAGCATCAAGTTTGTGAGCCTCAACACGGGCCTTTCTTTTCTATAAATGGACCTTTGTCAGATGTCCGCCATTGGTGCATTGCTCGTTGATTTAATACGATTGGAGGTCGACACATGTCAGTTTCACTAATGAGTTTATTTATTTTTTTATAACAATTCTTTCGCTTTCAAAATGACTCTTTCGAATTCTAGGAGTATTTACACATCCTCATCCAATTAATCGCGTTGCTGCCGCCCATACATAAAATATTCTATAGACGCGAGCTCTACGCTTCCACTTAATTTTCAACAAACTTGCTTCGCTGAAGTGCACGATTCTCATTGGGGCTGCCGCTTAAACTTCAATCCAATTAAAAGGCTCTTTAGGTGCCTGGAGCCATAGTGCCTCGCACACCCTTCTCGCTGCACCCTAAAACCCTAGTGATCGCACTGTGCAAAGTGACAAATTTTTGGTGGATTATAGATAGTGAATCTGCTGTCGAAGGCCGGCCATTCAAAATTTCGTTGACCCTTTTTAACTCTGTGTACTTTAATGTTAACTCAAATTAATTCAAAGTGTCATTAAATATATTAAAATCCAAATATTCGTTTTGTTTTCTTTAATGGATTCATTTTTTTCCAAGGCAGTCATTTATTTTTAAAGTTTAACTCAAATTTCCACTAAAAATGCGACGCATTTAAAAAAAACTTCAAGATGGGATCCAAAAAATAAGTTTGTACATTTGCGAGGAACGATTCAAATATGAGAAACTATATATAATGACAATTATTGCGTTACTGGGTTGCGAGAGGGAATATATGCTTGAAATTCCACGCACTTTGATTGGCAATGTTATACGTATCTTCAATGTTGAAAGTTCCAACACAATATTGATGACATGGCAGGTTTCCTAATTTATTGCGAGTACAATGAACTTTTCATCATCGAAGCATTTACGCCGCCTGATAACTTCGAACTCAGTTTTGAGCGCCAGCTTCTAGGACCATACATGCCAAGAGTATCAGTATCATACAAAACTCAAATCATAACAAGAAGTTCCATATAATCAAATGGGAAATAAATTCATCGCAGTGAAACTCGAATAAAAAAAATTCAGTTTTTAAACTGATTTTCTTGATAGACATAATAACCGAACTTGGAAAAATAGTCCGCCGAACAGAAGTAAGGCCAATCATATATGATATGAGACTCTGAAAAAAGTAAATTCGGATTCTAATTAATTTCATTTTGGCATACCTAAACTCACACCGTGGTGATATTCTGCACCAAGAAAAAAATTATCCTTGCAGCCACTCCAGCCCTGCCAAATTCTGTGACGTTGGCGCTGCTCCTGGGCTTCCATCAAACGCCATTCATTTGTCTCTTGTGTCCTACGAGGGAGTTTTATTATTAACAAGATCCCGTGCCTTGGCTCTCCAGCTCCTATTTTAATTTACGTGCAAATCTTTGCCGCTACAAGATCACTTGCCACATCAATATTCATGCTTGATAATTATTCAGACATTTACATTCATACTCAGTGAACTTTCTGTTATACCGTCACTCACTCACTCACTCACTCACAGTTTTCTCCAAATTTTATCGATTCACCCGCGTCACGTCTGCACCATTCAAATCCAATTCTCCTTTTTGAAAAATATTGGCTAGATTACACATCAACGATTAAACAAGGGCTTATAGTTCACCTGAGATTTATTGCCTATATTTTACATCAGCGGTTATACAAGGACCTGTAGTTCACCGCCGATTTCTAACAACAATTGTCAGGCATGATGCTGCTTCCATGAACGGTAAGCTCACGGCTCTAAATTAGAGAGCGTCTCGGAGGAAAGTCGAGATTAAAGATGTTTTATGGTGAGGATTTCAGATGAACGTCCGGGTTTTGCGCCCAGTTTTTACTGAGCCAAACTTACCAGTGGATCCTGCTGTCCACGGTGATGAAGTTTTTTCGTTATTTCGAGAGGTTGATTGCGAAGTAAATTGCAATCAGGTCCATGTTTTAAGTTTTGGCTTCATCGAAGGAAAAAATGTTCGAAGTCTTTTAGTGTTGCAACTTGGGTCAGAAAGCTACGCTAACTAAATTAGATTCAACTCTTTTTAATACCATATAAAAAAGTAATACGTCAAAACATTTTCCCATTAGTATGGCCTTGCTATATTACTCACGTTGGAACAAAGTTCTTAGATATAATTTTGCGTGTGTAATGACTCAGCTGTGCTCTTCATATTATTTCGTTCCGCTGTTGTTCATTCGTGGAGTTGGAAAAACTTGAGCAAAGAGGGGCACACTCGTCAGTTGAATGATCGTCTATCTTTTTAGCGCATTTTCTCATTTATGAAAAAATGCACTATTTTGCTCGCCATGTCCGTCTGTCCGTCTGTCTGTCCGTTCACTGCAGCACTCTCTGTCACTCACTGCAGTGAGTACTGAGTTATATTTTTTCTGAATATCTTTTAGCTAGAAAGTTATATATGCATTCACCTGGCTTTCCATATTTTTTGGTTGATTCGTGTAGTAAGTTGGAAATATATTCTTTTAGTTTTAATCTTTGATTAAAAGATTGATAACAACTTTGATTAAATGAAAATGAAATACAATAAGAAGTAGTGTGGTTTGAGTGTCCACCTGCTATTTTCTTAATTACTCGTAAAAATTTCTTCGTCCAATCTTGAACGTTGACTAAACAAATATTTTTTGTAGCGGTGTTATATTCAAAAATTTTTTCGTTCTCTTTCAAGTTTTCAACTGTTTTTTAACAGGTGCTGAAAATGCAAGAAAATTACATATTGTTAATTATTGTAAAATTAACTTATTATGTATTACTTACCTCCTTTTAAACTCGACACCAAGTTCTCTCCTTTTCGATGCATATTTAAATTTTCTTTAATTCTTAATTAATTCTTCAATTAAGACTTAACTTACAGTGGTACTCTAAAGTTCCGAGTTAGTCAAAGAGAAAAATACTTGACGGGCGAACAGGGTTCGCCACCAAAAATTTACTAACCGAAGTACGATAAAAATTTTCATTTCCTTAATTTCCATTTCCTCAACACATAGTACGATGAAAAAATTTTATTGAAGTACATATATGTTTACCAAATCCACCCTTTGGACCCATCAGAGAAATCGATAAATTTTATCAATAAAATGTTTATGCCATTATACTCCAAAATTCTCCTGAAATTATTTAAGTTCTTCTACTTTTCATAAGGTGGACGTGGAAGTTCCCCCGTTCATATCGACGGACTCAGCAGTTCTGAGCGGTGTGGTATACGCTAACTACACATCAGGCGCACCCGTGTCGGGAAACGTGACCGTGAGGGCTTCTGTGCGATCACTTCTACCTGACCGGCCCCATCTGCACTTCGCTCCTGACCCTTCACTCCTAATGCCGGTCACTTCGGTGAGTGGTGCTTAATCTGAACGTGCGGTCCTTGTACCACATGCGTTTGTGACTGCGGTGTGTGGTGTGGTTCTAGTAACACTCATGTCAGTAAGTAGAGTGATTAGAGTGATCATTGCGCCACATGCGTTTTGGTGTGGTTCTAGTAACACTCATGTCAGTAAGTAGAGAGATTAGAGTGATCATTGCGCCACATGCGTTTGTGACTGCGGTGTGTGGTGTGGTTCTAGTAACACTCATATCAGTAAGTAGAGTGATTAGAGTGATCATTGCGCCACATGCGTTTGTGACTGCGGTGTGTGGTGTGGTTCTAGTAACACTCATGTCAGTAAGAAAAGTGATTAGAGTGATCGTTGCGCCACATGCGTTTGTGACTGCAGTGTGTGGTGTGGTCATAGTGACACTCACTCGTGTCAGTGAGTGCAGTGATTAGCGTGGTTCTTGTACCACATGCATTTGTGGCTGCGGTGTGTGGTGTGGTCCTAGTGACATTCATGTCAGTAAGTGCAGTGATGAGAGTGTTCTTGTGCCAGTCAAGTCAGTAACTGCAATGAACGGTGTGTTTCATTTGCCACTCATGGCTATAACTGATTCGAATTGTGTGCTATAAGTGCCACTGATCACATTCAATGCGGTGAGTGGTGTTCTTCAATTCAAACTCATCAGGGCAAGTGAGGAGGTTTGCTGGCTTTCTTCATTGCTGTGTTACAAAAATTTCGTCTAGATTTTTAAACAAGAATAAGATTTTTGATACATCTCAATTTTAAATTGCAAATTATTTCTCTTTGCAGTTCTACGGAGCGTTTCCGTTCAGATTCCACTTAACGGATTTGGACGACCTGCTGCCCTCAGGAGGCCTGGAGAACTCGGAGGTGACCATCAGCGCTCAAGTGGGCGACATGATCTGGAACATCAGGCAACAGGGATACTCTAAAACTCGCATCATCGAGAGCAAACTTAGGCTCAAGTTCTTGGGCGACTCCCCTCACATACTACGGCCTGCAATGCCCTTCAAATTCTACGTGAGCATATATTACTTTCCTCACTCGTACATCATCATGTTACTTGACAGGGTTTTTGTTTCATTAACAGATACGCTTTTGCATTAACTTTTAACTTATAACGCCTCTTCATAAGTACCCTCGAATTTATTACGGCCTCCTCTCTCCAAAAAGTCGAACTAGGAATTTGCTTTGAGTTTCCAATTGTTATTGTAATATAATTGTAAAGGAGCATGAAGGATAAATAATGATCACCATAATTTTATTATTAAGAATTTACCAATTATTATCTTCAATTTCAAAATTCATGCTTAAACCAATGTTTTGGACAGTTACTCATTGTTGGATGAGGTTACTCAAATTGGACGCACCTGTTAATTCTGTACCTCTAAATGCTTCTAAAGGTACGTTTTTGGAGAAAAAAACAACGAAATCTCATTCATTTTTGGAGTTGTTCCATTTAACAGATAACTAATAAGGGACTAGAATCAAGAGGATAATATCAGAAAGTTAACACTGCTGCAATAAACCATCGCCTAGAAAAGTTATAACAATTACTAGAATATACTATATATAAAATTATGGATGAACTTGGCAGTGTCATAAATTATTTCAATATCAAAAAAGGTTTCAAATGCTTAAAACTCGAGTTTTTGAAAGGATTTACCCAAAAATAACGTCCAAAAATTGCAGTTCAGCGTAGTTTGTGTTTATGCTATACCTAATTAACCACCATCATAGAGGAGTATTTTTAAAGCGAATGTCTTGTTATGTATGTTGTAGCTGGCGGCGACCCAAGGCTCGTCAGCGCCGGTGCCAGAGTCGCGGTTATCGCGTCACCGGCTCCTGGTCACGCCAGAAGTGACGCTCAGCAACGGCCGACGCTTTCATACAAATTATAACGAATTACAAATTTGAACCTTTTTCAATTTCATCCAAAACCAGAGCTCCAGATGACAGTTGAAACTACGCAACAAGCGTGCTTTATTTTCTATCATTCGGGTGCTTTTCTAGCCTCTCGGAAATTTAATTTACTCTCAAAACATTTTTCACGAGATTTATCGAATATTAATTTTATTCGCAAAACTTCTTTTAATTAGAATCATATCGTATCAACTATACCTTTTCCCTAAAAATCAATAAATGTCGTCGAATTTTTCTACTCCTAGGCTCTCTGCCGTTCCCAATTTATTCATGAGTGTAAGCTGACGAAAAGATTGCTCCTTTCTTCACCAAAGAAAATTGAAAGTACACTTCAAAGGCTGCATTTTTTCTCGGGTTCGCGCATAGATTCTATTGCTGGAAGATGTTTTTAGAATATCTGTATTTCCCTCCGGAAACGCAATAACATTATTCTGCTCAAATTATACGGTCGAAATGATGTGAAGATGAAGAGAATGGTTTAGTCAGGGCTTTATTAGCAATAATTCTGACCTACGAGTTGAATATTAAGCAAAAACAGATAAAAAATGATTACCGCTTCTGATCTCGGTCTAAATATATTATAATGAATTGATATTTTAATATTTTTATTTCAGAAATATTGTTTAATGCACGTGACAAACACAATTTTATGTAGTGTGAATAACAATGAATGATCAAATATCGATATTTATTTTAAAAAATTTTTATGGTGTGAAATCAGAAATTAAACGAAGTAAAGTATATCCCAGCATTTGCAAGTTACTCATTCGTTATGTTGATTAAGGTTTATTCAAAATTTGATTTTATGAATTTGTTTCTAAGATCGGTGTCACACATTTGATACGCCCGCACATATTTCAATAAGATTATCTTATATATCAATGTTGTGTGGGGTGAAATTTGGGTTACAATGCATGGTGGTAACCGAAATTTTACTCAGTTCCTTTGCAACCACGATACCGCTTTGTTATAATGGTGTATAGAACATGGCGGCCGCTAATGGTCATCGCTTTAATAGTTTCAGGGACTGTATACGGTCCACATCTTGTGTAATTGTAGTAACATTAGCCTGCCTATACTAAACTGCACAAGATTTAGGAACCTAGCATCATGAATACCATTAAAGTTTAGCTACCCCCATGATATCGAATATTTTTTCGTATAAATTGTTTTATGGTGGGTATTTGAGCTACAGTGACATGAGATTTGGTGTGTTAAATGAAGGCTTGAATAGGTTTGTCCAAGCTTATATTTCGTTAGCGTAATATAAGATTTCTGATTTTACCATAGCAAATAAGGAGTATTTTTTTCTGCTAAAAATCAGCTCTAAATAAAGCTGGCTACATGTCGGATTGTAAATAGTAGCATTTTTACGAGTTAGTGTTCAAATTACCTCGCAATATGTCGTAAATGCATCGAGGCCTATCAAGTCATTCGCAATACTTTTCATATCGGGATATTACTTCGGAAATATGATTTTTTTATCGAGGAATCCTGCGACATTATAAAATTGAGAATAGGGTTCGATTTAGAAATAAAATGCGATTTTTACTTTGGTAAGTTTAAATTTAATTCAAGGATAAAAAATTCGAATTTTCTTAAAATTTCAAAACAATTATTCCCAATTTATTCCAAACTCAGCGCTGAATGTAGGTTTTAATAGTTAATTCTTCAGTTACGAATATATTTAAAAATGGATTCGGGATCCCGCATTCTGAATGATATAACGAGATTTGGATTAACGGGATTATCAAATTGCGTGGGTCATCTTGACAGCGACGTGACAAAAATATTTTCGACTAAACGCCATTGAAATTTTGAAACACTGTATAGATCATAAAATGCGAGAACCTGATCTGTACGGTACATCCAGGTCGATTTCATCGTTCGATTACTTATCATTACGCGCATAAATGAAAACTCGTTCAGGACTTTCAACCCATATTCAACAAAGTAACGAATATTAGTAATCCTAACGATTAACATCTATTTAGTTTACACCTAATATTATAAATGGCATAAAGAATTCATTTTTATATATGCATAAGCAGGGTTGAAGAAGTACGATGATGATATCTATGATACTAAGATTAACAAGTGTTTTAAAAAGTATTCCCAAGTGAAGCAAAATAAAATGCAGCATTGATTCTGCAAGTATTCCTCTCATTCAAAGTTGTCTGATATATTGTCATTATCTTCAATTTACAATATATTTAATAAAAGAATAAAGAATAAAAAACAACATAAGTTTAACGAATAAAAAATAATAATAAGTTGTACATCTCCACAGCGGACTACGAGGTTGAGTCAGAGGTCGCATCCCTGGCCCTGACGGCCGAGCTGAAGGAGGCGGCCGGAGGGAAGGCTTACGCCAAGCTGGTGGCGGTCACCCACCACTCCCCTGGCGGGAGGTTCCTCCAGATATCCACCTCCACCAGGGATTTCTCACGTGGCAGGCTTCTAAAATTTCAGTGGTCACTAAATTTCATGTGATTGTGCCTCAGCCATTTCTATTCCACACGCACTAAAAGCCCAATAAAGACAAAGGCCTCCACTACCAATGACAGCAGGCTTTTTAGCGCATTTTCTCATTTATGAAAAAAATGCACTATTGTGCTCGCTATGTCCGCCTGTCCGTCCGTCTGTCTGTCCGTCTGTCTGTACGTCCGTGATTTCATGTTTTCGTCGACGAGAAAATGCGCTCTCTGTCACTCACTGCGGTGAGTACTGAGTTATATTTTTTCCTATATATTTCTTTCTATATCTTGCGCCAAGAAGTGACTGGTCTCCCAAGAAATTCAATTTTTATTGCACATGTAAGACTGAATTTTCTCGTATTCTGATCACGAGAGTAAAACCACAAATTTAAGGAACTACTCACCGAATGCGATAAAAAGATTGCTTCACCAAGAGAAATGTCGCTTGATAAGAGTCTTCAAGTTAGCAAATTTAAGCGTAGATATTACTGAATTCCTATATAGTCCTCGGTGTGTTCATATAGTCTCGGATAAATAATTCAGCGGTGCACCTTTATTATAATTAGGTTCTTCAACGTGGCATAAACCTGTCACTTGGAATGGGAGCGGTCGTCGCTTTCGTCACTGAAGGTCCTGAGTCTGTAAGCAAATTTTACGGAAGCATATAGCGAATCCGCCCATATACATATAATAGCTACACGCTTATACTGCAGCGCTCTGCTTGGCTGTCTCGTGAGGGCTTCCGCTTACTCAATTGAATTTCCATCCAGTGGATATGGCGTCCAGTGTAACGATTATTTCTTCTGTTGTTTGGATTTTTTGTTCATTCGCAAATTGTGCGTTTGAAGATTGGTTTCGGTGCAAAATACACTATTTACCTTCCTACGAACAAATACATATTTAATGACACAATTATAGAAACAAACGAAATTATACAAGACTATCCTCCCGCAATAATATTGACTCATTTGGATTATCTATTAAGCACACAGTAGGTAATCTAGGCTCTTACCAAGAGTAAGGGGCTGGTTTCACGACATATCAACAAACAAATTACACGTAAAAAATATATGGGTCGATGTTGTTGGAACATTTGCTAATGAATTATTGAAACTAAAAATTATTAGAAATACAAACAAGTAAGAACTATTAGAATGCCTTCATGATTACATTGGTCATTGAGAATTAGGCACCTAATAAGAAGTCACCCAATACGTTAATTTTTTTAAATATTCATTCACCAGATATGAATGGTAACGCTTCGTTAACTAACATCCGCAGGGTTACTTCGTCTCATTTAAATTTCTACTGAATGAATCCATTTCTTTCATGGCATGTTATTTTACTGGATCACTTGCACTAAATATAACCGCAAGAATCCACTGCGCCAGCCTGGATGTCGTGTTAGAGAAACTCTTCGGAGCCGTCACGCAATTGTCCGTTCTTTCGAAGCCGTCTATTACAAGGAAATTTAGGTCTCTATATAAAGCGTGTCGTGCTATAACCAAACGCAGAAAACTCCCTCCTTCTTCCACTAGACGCATGCTGAGGGGTTAGAATTGTCTCAAACAGTTTCTTCCAAGCTTGCTCATGAAATATAGTTTTGACGCTTCTATTTCATTAGAAAATCTAGAAAGCACATTCAAAACCGCGAATCTGATCCTAATTCAAACACGTAGTTTTCATAAATTTTCTACATTTCTGGCTGCTTGAAATACATTACTCATCGTGCTGTAGGTTCAAAAAGAGAGAAAACTGCACCTGAAATTACTAGGGCAGTATTTCGTAGCTTTTTAGAAATAGATTTTCCGTTAAATTGCTTTTACTCATGTCGCTTCGATCTGATACCAAACGTAATATTTTTGTAAATTATAGATTTAATAATATTTTTGTTAATTACGGATCCCGTTTTTCCCAATCTAACCCAATTCCCTATCCCCACTGGGGTACCAATTAGGAACCGCGTCATTTTCTCTGCCAAGTTTGGTCGCTCACTCATGCCAGCCTTTCATTTGACGACCCGAAGTAGTTTTCTCTTAAATTTGTAAACCCAGCTTTGCATGCTGGTTATAGCGTGCCAATGCCAGTCCATGGAAAAATATTATATAAAAAATTTCATATATTTTTAACCCTTTTTACTTTAATTTAACGGTCCACCCTGATCTACCTCAGCTGTTTTTGTTTATCATTTTAAAGCCTTTTTAAGCCTTGAGAGCAACTTCACTGTTGTCTTTCCTTTTTCTAATTTCAATTTTATCAATCTAATCTAATTCAATTAAAAAGTCTATTTCTTTGTGATTTCTTATAAAATTCAATGGTATCCTCCGAACTACTGGTATAAAGTTCTTACAAAGTCTACTGCAAGGATTGGTTAATGCAAAAAGTGTGTTAATTTTAATGTAACACTTCAATTAAACTCGGATCCGACTTTAAAATGGGAACATTCATTTGTGTTTATGGGCAATAGTTAAAGAAATCCGGGTAAAACAAAACAAAAATAACAATAAAGCAGAAATGATTTCACTTCCTGTCGTTTTTGCCCTCATTTTCCTCGTAGCAAAATGACATGTATTTTAACCTTTCGAGGATCTAGGAGTCAGTGATAACTATTACAATAATTTGAGCGCGTTATTCGTAAATCAAGAATAACTTTTTCGAGATGATTTCACTTTGCATTGTGTGCTGCTCTCATAACCTTATATTTGATAAGGATTTTTTTTCCAATCCACAGGTAGGAGAATACGTCATCCTGCACGTGAGGAGCAACTTCTACCTGGAGAATTTCCGCTATCTTTTACTGAACAAAGGCCTTATCGTGGAAGCCGGTCAAGAAAAAATGGAGGTAAAATGCCAACATTCTTGAGTGCCAACAGACAATTGCTATCTTTTAATGTCCGAACCTCTAGTGCGAACTCTAGTGCGTACCGTTTGAATTTATTAACACTATTCTTTTATGAATTTTGAGTTAATAGGTTTTACCAAAATGTCATAGAAGTTAAAAAGTCTATTTGATTTCATTTTAATTTTTCACATACTTAAGAAATTTCTCTGAGTTTTAAAAAAAATATAAATTTTGTTTTGTTCTACCATATTGTGTGAATAAATTTTACAAATTTTTTAACTAAAGACTGAATATTGTTTCAATTTGCTAAAATATAGTTTCTTCTCGGTATAGATAAAACCCAGTCGTGATATTATGATCGTGGCTTAGAGCCTTAGACAATCAAACATTGTTTGTTGTAATTCTTGTTTCGTAATCGAATGAGTTCAAAATTTTAATGGGAGCAATTCGACTAAAAATCGAAAATGATTACTTTTCCAGTTTTTAGACTCAGTTTAAAGGTCCAAGACCCGCCCATTTTAAGAGCCCAAAGCCATGTTTGTGCGTTCATTTGCTCGTTCACGACAGCCGTCGAAGCGCAAATGAAACCAATACCTTCAATGATCACAAATTTCAGTTTTTGGGCTCTCCTGGAAACTTAGAATTTTCATCTCAAAAATTTATCTCCTCCTATGGTGAATTTCACGCTCTCTTTTATTTTTCAAAAATTTACACGAACAAAAAGTCTTAGATTTCTGTTGTACATATGTGTACTAAATTTCAAAATGATCCGTCGGTTAATAAAAAGTTTTTTTTTTTTGACCGATAAACTCCCTTTAAATCGAAGCGAATAAAATGTTTGATACGGTTATAATTTTATGGTAATTATCCTCTTCTTTATTTTTTTCAAATGTTGCATCATAAAGTGTGCCTGAATATGGATTATTATTTATTTGTTCAATTCTACTTAATTATAATTCTTTTGTTAAAACTTCAATGAAACAAATTAATCGTTTGTTGTGATCATTGTGGAAATCCTAAATACGTTTCACAGTAAACATTGATTTTGTTTATTTGAGTTCTGAAGGATTATGAGGCATCGATAGAAAGAACATTTTTGAGGAAAGAGTTGCCGCCGAGGTCTTGCCATTATTCCACATATCTGCCGGCTGGCGCATTCCACTCGATTTCACAAAATGAAAGCGTCTGATGGACTGCCTTCTTTCACAAGACGAATGAACTCGGCTGGATTTGCCTCGAAAATGTATATCTAATCTGGCAGTCTGAATATTGCTAGAAGCCGCACTAGATCAAGCTACCTCGGCTCTGTGTGAGAAAAGACTAAAGTTTTCGATAAAAATCAACAAAATAGAAAAGATGCACAGAAAAATTGATTCAGATTCATTTATGGTCGTAGTGTTTCAGGAATTAACTCTATGTTCTTTCTTCGATGAGCTCATTTCTTCTGAGAGCTCTTTTATCCAAAATATCTACTCCTAGCCTATTAAGTATAATACCAGTGATAATAATGGCTAAATAACGTCCCCAAAGTTTAATCGAACCACGAATCATGAAAAATATTTAATTATATCCTAACACATAAGAAGTCTGACATTTTGTGAACGAAAATGTAAACAATATTCACAATAAACTTTAATGCAATATGTATAATTTTTCCACACAGGCCTCACTGCACACGTTCCCACTCGCCCTGGACGCCTCGCTAGCCGGGGCTGCTACAGTCGTCGTCTATTGGACAGGCCGCGGTGGAACTCTGGTCGCCGACTCTTTAACTTTCCCCGTAAACGCTATAACCCGCGACCCTGTTGAACTAAACGTCACGGCGATGCAGCGCTCCAAGCAGCCAATCAAACTAGAACAGTCCAAGTTCGCCTCGAGACATCCCAGGCAAGTTGATCCGATTGAAGAAGCGGTTGCGACAGAACAGGAATTGATGCAACTTCCAGCACCCGATGCGCAAGGCAATTTATCTGACATGTTAGGCCCTGTGACAAGCGACGATCGTTCGTCAAACGTAACAGGAGAAAAGACTGATGAGTCCATCAATAACAACAATACGGTTTCATCCGAAGATGAGTTTTCAGAAGTCAATGTCACCATGAACAATTTATCGTCGGAATCTTCTAGTAAACCTAACATCGAATCAGCTGAGTTTGGCCGGCTATATTCTCCAAATTTTTCTGCGCCTGCTCAATATTCCAACTCTTCTTATGCAATAGCGACTGCTCTTCTGAATGTCACAACCGATAGTGTCACAATCAGCAGAAACGTCAATTTTGTAAATAATTATAGGGAAAACTCAACTGTAATGCTAGAAAATTTGAAAGAATCAGGCCTGATTTTCGAGTACGAAGATAAATCTTCAAAAAACAATGAATCAAATTTAGACGCTGATGAAACAAGCAGTTTAAACCACCTGCTCCATGAAATGAATCAGACCATCAACTTTTCATCTGCGATAAGCAGTCAATCATCAAACAAATTTGAAAAAGAATCCACATTTAGTTCGTTATCACCCATTATCACTGATCCATCGCTGATGGTGATTGAGGAACGAAGTCTTCTACTCGTACATGATAACGTGACGAATATGCCAGCCAACCATGGCAATTATTCAGTGTTTCCTGATTTTTCGACAAATCCTAAGCCTTCGAGTCCGACAAACGATTTGCTGAATATTTCTCTAATTGAATCGTCAAATATCCAGTTGGTTCCTATTGAAAACCACACGTCATTTCTCCAGCTTCAGCCTCATCAAGATTCTGCGGAAGCCCGTGGAATTTTACGCTCATCTGTCCAGGTTAACAAAATTTTCAAAACTTCTTTGGGACGTGATCAGAGTTCCAATCTATCCGTGCAATTTTCAAGCAATGCCGCTTTTCTTCAGGAAAAGGAAATGAAAATTAGTTCTTCAAAATTGCGTTCTTCTCTCCCTACGGTTCAGTCAGAAAACTTGCCTCAAACTTCCACATCGAATTATTCTGAAGTTCCGAAATCAACTTCATCGGTTTCCTTGTATAGCGTCGAGACAACGGAGGATCTGCCTTACATCAAGCAGGGGACAGACTCGTCCCAGGTCACAGCTCGCAGTTCCTCCAATGATAGTCAATCTGAAAAATACGATATCGAAAATTATTTCACTGCCGAATCAAGCATCGAGAGTATTCAGCCTGAGAAATACAGTCCGAAGATTAATTTGAATATCAATGCTGAATCAAGCTTCGCAGATTTAGAGTACGAAGCGACGGTAATCGAAACCGATGACTTGAACAACACCGACCAAATGTACGCTGATGAGAATACTCAGACAGTTCTCGAGGATGACGGCGCTGAAGACATGGACTCATTACCTCTTCCGTCCAGGGAGCACAGGAGGCGAGACTTACGTCGTTATGAATATGCAGATGACGTTAAGGAGGACGTGTTACGATTGACAGTGAAGGGCCTCCCAGGAGCTCGAGTGTCACTGGCAGGATACAGCTGGGACAAGTTCGGCATGGCGGGCGGCAGCCAAATGAGCCACGCTCAGGTCAGACTGGGCCTCCCAGGAGCTCGAGTGTCACTGGCGGGATACAGCTGGGACAAGTTCGGCATGGCGGGCGGCAGCCAAATGAGCCACGCTCAGGTCAGACCTATTGTCTTATCTTAGAGCAGAATTGACATTATATACATTTTATAATTTGATATTTATTACTATTATTCAGATTAGTATAATTATTCATGTATTATTTTTTTGTGCAATATTATCACTGGTTGAAATGTCAACCTACATTATGGTCCTCAGAGTACAAATTGAACCATTAAAGGAAACTTCGCAAAGTATTATTTACGGTGATGTAGTTGTCATTTACGGTGATGCAGGTATCAATTACGGTGATGCAGTTATCATTTACGGTGATGCAGTTATCATTTACGGTGATGCAGGTATCATTTACGGTGATGCAGGTATCATAAATCTATTCTACACAGAAGAACGATTTATGAAATTTTTTATTATTACGATTTATTTTGTTGTCACCAATATAACTAAAATATTTATATGGATCATTAACGGCTAGAGGTTCTGAAAAATTCAAATTAATGCGAAAGAGAGGTTCTCATCCATCACATGCCCCTGCCTTGTATCTAAGGCATCATTCGCTGATCCATCACCCTCTTATTCTGGCGGAAGTCATCTTAAAAATACAGATTTATTTCTTACGTTTCAATTGGCCTTCTATCACGATGATTTCTTATGCTGCATCAAGATGCACTTGTTGGATGCCTCCATAGCTGTAGCCGCTCTGGTTGTTGTTTTATGTATGAGTAATTTCTTCTCAACCGAGAATGCCGTGAAGCCGCCATTGCCTATTCTTTTCGCAGCGTTGCTAGAATTACACCGTCACTCAGAGCTTCTCCTCTATTCTTCTAGTGGAACTCGGTTGCCAACGCCACCACATTACCATGCCGAAAGGAAATGCAAATTTTGGCATCAACATGTAAACGATGCCAGATACGTTCCCCTTATCGTATATTCTCCTTCTACATTTTTCTTCTGCATTGTAGAGCCGAAGCCGGGTTTTTGCGAGATCTATTCGAGACACGTCGACTTCAAGCTTTTCTTGATGAGTTCCGTAGGAAGGAAAACTTTCGCGGCAAAGTGATAGTGGCTTGCTGTAGGTCCGTGCATTTGAAATGGTAAGACACTAGCAGCATTGAAATCTTTACGGTCTTCTCTGATGCACACTCAACGGCAAGAATACGAATTCCTTACTCGCCCCTGAGAGTGGATTAATCTGAAAGATCCTGTCCGGAAGTTCATTTCTATTTGTGAAAAAAGATCCAACGTAAAAGAACTTTTACGCTGCACAATTTTTGCGGCATCTTGTGTATGATGTAGTGGTATGAAAGTTTCATTAATTTGTTGTTATAAACTGAATACCTTACATCAGCAGTGTAAAGACGTGAAAGGTGCAAAAAGGCTCGTTTATGGGGGTTGCATGCTTGAACTTGAACTGACGCTTGTGAACCAGCAGAAAATAATGGGATTTTCAGAATAAATTAATTGCCAAAAAAGCATGCTTTTTAATTAAGAAACGTTGTACAATGTGCGAGTTATTTGGCCCTATTGCTTGAATATTCAACCGAAGCTCAGTTTCTTCCAAATTTGCGAATCCTTCACTATACCGTCATTTGTTTGTTTGCCGATAATTTTAAACATTTTGAAGACTCCTTATATGGATGCTTTCTTTTCGAAACACTTGTCAGTTGGATCTTCCTTTGAATACTTCCGGTCGCGGGACCATTTTTTCAATTTATTTCAGGGATCATTATTTATTCCAGGGATCATTATTTATTATTGTTTCAAACGAGAAAATACATTTTATTGTTATCCTTAATGTAGTTATCCTTCCATTGGTTATTATTCAAATCGTTCGTTTATTATTTTATTACATCATATTGTAAGAGGTAGAAATCGTGGATCATTAAATTAACGATGAGGCAGTTATTTTTTCATAGAATTTGTTTATTATGCAGTATTTTAACTTGCCAATTCAGTTTAAAGTTAACCGATAAGCAATTTAAATGGCGTTTATTGCGCAGTGAAAAGTAGGGGAGGAGGAAAGCTATAAACTTAGGAGTGAACGTCAAGCCACATAGATCTGATCAGGGTTAACGAAGATACAACTTAAGGTGTTGGTGTTTGTATATTGTTTTATAGTCTGAAGCACGAATGTTATTACGTGTTTATTTTTCAAGACAGTATTGCAATATAATATTTTAAGTACGATTCATGTAAACCATGGTCCATGAACCTCTATGATAATGTACAGGATCGTTAGAGTGTTTCTAGAGCCTCAACAATGTTAATTACGTTTGTGACATATTTATCATCATCATCATTGCACTTGATTTTTTTATCGTCTGTTATTGCTTCACTTGTCTGCATTAGTAATCGAAGTTCAATTCAATAAAAGAAATATTTTGATATTCCAGAATTAGAATATCACAATAAAAAGTATCCAGAATATTGTGATATTCTAGAAAATGTTTAGAATTGTTCTGAATGAATTGAAATTTCTTTGTTATCATTCCAATATTCTTCTAGACTTGACAGGAGAAGAAAAAGTTTCCTGCCAAAGAATCATAAACTTATTTTTACTAAAATCAAATACTCATTATCTCAGCAAATACGTTTAACTGCGATAATGATTGGCATCTAATGATGCCGCCGTAATTATAGTTGCATCATTAATTAGTCCCCACCATGCGGCTAGTGTCGGTCACAGCATTACATTTTCATTGATCCCTGCGCTGAGTAATTGGCTGTCTTCGTGACCTGGGCCTATACTTTCAAAAAAAGTTAGGAGATCGTAAGTTCATCAGCCATTCATTGACGGCCTTTCAAGCAAAATCCACCAATCACAGACAAGAAAATAGAGCGTAAGTACTTACGCTCACTTAGCGAGTTTTGAAAGTATGGCCCCTAATCTCTTCACGCGATCCATCTGTGAAATTGAAGTCGTCAGGATTTGTTGGTAATGACTGAGATGAGATCCGGCGAACAGAAATACGTGACAATCTTGTCAACGTACTCCTTTGTTGATATTACATGGAGCTTGTTGACTATACTATAGTCAGTATTCTTGTTAATACTGTGAAGAACAGCAAGTTTTGCCGACTTTGGCTGTGTTTGTGAAAATATGTATGATTTCTTAAGAATTTGGTCTAGTTCTGTAGTTTTTTCGGAAATAAACCTAAAATTTCTTGTCAAATTGTATCAGAAAATGTCCTGATGATCCTAAATTTTAAAATATTTATGTGAAAAATAAATTGTTCTGCCCTATATTAACAAGCCTAATCCGCATTTGTTTCTCAAAAGCTTCTATTGATGCTGCACCTGTCCACCTTTCGCTATCTTAATGGTTTGCGTTTTTCAGATGCTCAAAGTTTGTATATTGATTAGACGAAATATTTTACCAAACAGATAATTGTAGCAAGATCTTAATTTAATTTAATAATGTATGAGTAATTATATATATTGTGCCCTTAGCCAAATGAATAGAACTAATAATGTGCACAGCTTGGAGGTAATGATTAACATGAAATTGAGAAAACGAGACGTAGACTTCACAAATGTTGTGGGTATTGTCCCTAAATATATATTGTTGTGGGGAAAAAAGGCACTATTTTATTGAAAACTCTAACCTGTCAAGAAAATATTAAACCTAAACAAATAATACTTTGGCTGTGTAGATTTGCACCTAAAGAGATCTGTAAATTCCTAAAGTTGCATAAAAATTTCTGAAGTGGTATGAAATGATCGTTTCATCGGCTTAAAGAATTAATGGTGCTTAAATCTTTATATGTTAAACGTGTCAGGCGCATAATCTTAGATATCAGAGTCTTTCAAACATTAAAGCGCTGTTCACAGCGGTCACTGAATCGCAAGTGCCTTGCTTGTTTGTCTTACTGGCACCTCCTGGCTTTCTGTCTTTATCGCACTTATAGTATGTGGATACGGAGCGATGTACAAAAGGAAAAACACTGCAATCTCATTATTTTAATAGGCCGAAACGGTTTTGAGATATTTATTGGTAGTAAGAAAATAGATCTGGTTCAGAAACTACATTTAGGAATGCCCAGTACAACTATAGCTGCGTAAGTTGATAATCCGTCTGTCAATCATATAGGCATTGCGTGGCTTCCACCCGCGACGATTGGGGTTGGTTAAATATTTGCGAGATTTATTCTCCGAAAAAGGGTTAACTCGAATGTGGATGATTTCAAATATTCTCTAGGCAGTTTGGTTGGAACCGGTTCTTGTATTATCTATGTCAGTTTTTTTTTTTATTTTTCATTCTTCATTGCAATTATCAATCAATTTTTTAAATCTGTGATCCGCGCCATCGGTAAAATAGTCCTAGCCAGACGTGACGTATTCTCTCGTTGCAATGAAAATTTATCAATCGTTTTCAGAAACCTTATCAACACGGGTCAAAGCTCGAAAATTGTAATCTAATCTTGTGGCAGTAATCAAGACAATGGTAATATCATGAACACCCGTAGTTAATTGAATTATTTTCGTCCCTAATTCTTTCACCAAGACGGCGACATTGGAGCTTGCATAAATAAAAATTTGTTATAAATATTTCGCGTTTCAAAGGAGACGAGCGAGATTAAAGGATGCTATAACTTATAGCTGACCCTCGTTGTTCACAGATTTTTTCTGTTGAACTAAAGGTTCTATCCGAGAGGACGATATGTGGCCACTTCGAACGAACTTTATTTCTCGTCACGAAGAGCCTTACCGAGATGACTTACTTGATCGCTTCAATGTAGCTTTAGCTCACAGCTTTATTTATAGTCATGTTAGTCCTCACCGAGATGACATATTTAATCGCTTCAAACTATCTCTAGTTCACAGCTTTATTTCTCGTCACAAAGTGCCTCATCGAGATGATATATTTAATAGCTCCAACCTAGTTTTACATCACAGCTTTTTATAATTGTCGTCATGAAGACCTTCATCAAGATGACATATCTAGTAGCTTCAAACCAACTTTAGTTCACAGTTTTATTTCTCATCACGAAGGTCCTCACCGAGATGACAAGACCTGATCGCCCCACGCGAGGCTCGTCCTCCGAGCCGCACATGCAGCAGTGGGGGGCGGTGTGGAGCGGTGCTGAGGAGCTTGTTCGTCTACCTCGTTCGTCGTTGGGAGTCGATGCCAACGACACCTTTTCGTAAGTACTTCAATTTCTTATAAAAAATTAGTTATTATATGTATATTAATATCCTTTAACCGTATCAATTAACATTTATAACCGTATCAATTTAGGAGTGACCGCTTATGGCCTCGAGAAAAAAGTTATTTTATTGTAACTTCAACCTCAGAGGTGAAACGGACATACTCTGAAGATTCTTCAACGCGAACACCAGCAATTCACATAGATTTTTCACATTCAGTTTCATTTAAGTTTTGAGAAATTTTTAATTGAAAGTTCTACAGTAGTGTTGCTATCCATTGCTTCATTAAAGGGTTCATTCTAATCCACTGCTGTGATTGTTCCTCTTTAGTTTGGCTGACGTGCTCGTGCTCACTGACGCCAGCGACTGGCAGTTGCCGGGGCCATGTCAAGACGCTCGCCAGCTGCCATGTCTTATGTCAGGCTGTTACTCGCAGACGTCAGCCTGTGATGGACACTGGGACTGTCCTGATGGCATCGACGAGCGTCACTGTGAGTATTGATATAAATTTTGTTATTTAGATATACTAGAGCAAAGTATTATTTATTTACACCATGTTTCATTCAGCGTCGCTGAAATATATCCAATATAAAAACAACGTATTTTATTGATTTTATCATCTGTTTGTATTAATTAATGAAAGCCTAACAATTCATCGCTTATCTTCATGAAAACGTGGGGTCTTACACTGTTTTTAAAGATTGAGATGAACAATGGAACGATTCTTAATTACTACGCCTAAATACCTTAATAGTATCTGACAGATGCTGATCCAAAATCCGACTATTGGCTGAATTTATCACCATGAATTTTTTTATTCATGCTTTTTTAATGGGAAAAGAATATTCAGACCACATACATCGACATTATTTTGCTCGTAGCATGTGACAATAAAACCATAATTTCTGATGGAATTTTATCGGAATTGGCAACTGGCTTAAGTAAGATAAATTGAGTTCATATTGAAATATCTGTTGCTTTCGGGGAAATGGAGAAATTTATAGCAGTGGTTATTGAATTACTTTCTGCTGTTGGTAGTAATTCCGGACATTAAGTGAAACAATCATCAAATCCTGTTAATAAGATGAAGCCTAATTTTCATAATTATGAATAACCTGCGGAAGAGAATGATCGTGCTAACTTATTTTACTATTTATTATCTTTTCTTATTAGCTGATTCATATGACTTATTTTATTTGTTTTTTCCTATTACGATAAGTGTTGGAGGATTTCAGAACTAATGTTCACATCAAAAGACTTTGAGGAAATTTTCAAATTACATTTTTCTCCTACGAAAGGCGACCGCCTGACTCCAGCAGAAAAAGACATCGAAGAGTTCATGTTATCGCGGCAAAATAGACTGGCGCGACACGTGGCACCGCCGTGGCTCTGGAGTCATGTCACTCTCAACGACTCTGGCATGGCCGCGCTCACGGTGCTCAGGCCTTATGACCTGGCCTCGCCTCTTGTTCTCTCAGGCTTCAGTTTACACAAACACAAAGGACTGAGCTTGTTGGAAAACCCTGTTGAGGTGAGGGAGAGACCTTCCATTCAGTAATATATTATTTTTGCTATTTTTGGTTTAGTCGATCAATTGATATTTGTCCCTAGGATTGAAGCTAAAATTTCAATCGTAAACGGTGCTTCAGATGAACCAATCGGCAATCACTATGTGTGGTTTGGACGATATAGAAAATTTTCGGGAATTTAAAGTCAAAGACAATACCGTAAAAATTCACCTTTTCTTTAGAAGACAAATTATTTATTTAACAAATATATATTCTTGTGGTATTGTCTTTGCCTTCAAATTCCTGATTAAGTTGCGATTTAAGCAAACAAGTTATTTTAATACATATATCCGATCAAAAAACGGAGGAAATTTTAGTGTTATCGTACTCTTTTTTGTTTTTACGCAACACCAGATATCATTTGATGCAGGAAACAGTCAAATTTATTTATTAAAATCATTGAAATCTACTTGATTATCCTGTTCACTCTTGAAATTGCAATTGAGCTTACAAATTCCTTATTTGGGTAAATGCTACGAAAATGAATTCAATATAATTAATCATCTCTTTGCATGTACTGTCGCCTTATAAATTCCGAGATTTTTAAAATACAGTAGGGTAACGTGGGGCAGCGCGCCCCCCACTTTTTTTAAACTAAATTTTTGATGAAGTTTTAATTGATACGTGGTGGTTCTTTGTTTTGTTTATTGCACTACTGTGCTCGCCATGTCCGTCTGTCTGTCCGTCCGTCTGTCCGTCCGTCCGTGACCTCAAGTTTTCGTCGACGAGAAAATGCGCTCTCTGTCACTCACTGCTGTGAGTACTGAGTTATATTTTTGCTATTTTTGGTTTAGTCGATCAATTGATATTCATTCCTTAGACTGGAGGTGAAATTTATGTCGTGAAAGTTGCTGCAAATAAATCAATTACTGTGTGTTGTTTGGACGATACAGAAAATTTTCGTGTTATCGTGCTCTTTTCTGCTTACACAACAGCAGATCCACAGTTGATGAATGAAACAATTTTTTTTAATTTATTTATTAAAATCATTGAAATCTTCTTGATTCTCATGTATACTCTCCAAATTGCGATTGAGCTTACACATTCCATCTCTAGGTACACGGTACGAAAATGAATTCAATATAATGAATCATCTTTTTGCATGTACCGTCGCCTTATGAATTCCGAGATTTTTAAGATACAGTATATATAATTTGTTCAGGACTACTCTTTTCATACTAATTTTTATAAGAGTATGTTATATTCCGTTGATTAACTATCATTATGAACACCGTGAATGCTCACATATCGCTGCTACACGTACTAAGATTTTTGGATGTTTACCTGGTTCCACAAAATGCGTTCTTAACAGACAAAATGAGTAATTATCAGTCATTTATAATGAGAAGCTACGCAAATTTATATTTTCTTGGATATTTTACATAAATTCTTTTAAATTTTTTGCAGTGGGTGGACGAAGACTCGTTCCAGCTTCGCGTTGAGGCGCCCGAGCGCGCGGGTGCCTGGGAGCACGTGGGCGTACGCGTGACGGCACTCAACCGGCACCTCGAAGACGTGACCGCCCACATCACCCTGGCGCACAGCGAACAGTATAAGTTCGTCGCACTTGAAGACTTCGATGTTGCAGGGGTAAGTTTCACGACACTTTGTTGTTGTTCTTTATTCCTGCAGGAGTCGTGCCAAATGAGGTAGCTTGCGTTTTTTATTCTTCTCATTTTCAATGAAAATTTTGACATCACCGAGTGTAGTACGAGGACGATTTTTGATTCTGCAACGTCTCCTGTTGTCGATATTGGTGGAGCAAGATGAACGATCGATTGGATGTTTCCTGTTTTACCTCTAGTGATTTTAAGGAATCCTTTTTGAAATATATATATTTATTTGAAATCATAGCCACTTCGTCGTATTCGTCTTGACTCTTTTAATAAAACTGAGAAAAAACTTTTTTTACTATTTTCCCACTTGATATAATCTATTCAAATGAGCATGGATTCGTTTCTTTTTTGTAATGTTGCAGCTCTCATTACTGCGGCAGCATAAATTAGCTCAACTCACGCATGTCACAAAGAAATGACACAATTACACGATCGTTTTCATGCTAAGTTTTTCTTATTAATTACTATATGTTAATTCTGTTTAGCCACGAAAAACATTTCATGTAAAGACGAGCTTATGATCGTGCAGTTTGACAGCAAACAAGGGTATCAACGGCGTCGGTTTTCTGAAGGCGAACACCAACACACAATTCATGTTGTCTTGACTCATTTTAATAAAACTGGGAAAATTTTTTTTACTATTTGCCCACTTGATATATTCTATTCAAATGAGCGTGGATTCGTTTCCTTTTGTAATGTTGCAACTCTCATTAATGCGACAGCATAAATTTGCTCAACTTACGCATGTTACAAAGAAATGACACAATTACATAATCATTCGCGTGCTAAGTTTTTCTTATAAATCACTGCAAGCTAATTCTGCTTAGAATCGAAAAACATTTCGTGTAAAGACGAGCTTATGATCGTGCAGTTTGACAGCAAACAAGGGTATCAACGGCGTCGGTTTTCTGAAGGCGAACATCAACACACAATTCATGTGGCTGGCGGTGGAAGCATCACCCTTTATCTTCCCATCGTACCTTTCACGCTAGGCGAGGTGACTGTGCAGGTGACAGCTGTCATTCCTGGCAAGAAACTCCGCGCCCAAGTCAACATACTTGTCGAGGTAAATACTAAGTCTGGAGCTCGCATACTGGATAGTGATGAACTGTCATGCATTTATCGGAAAGTATTGTCGAGGTTAAGGCTGAGACGAGTTCTGAACAACGAAAAGAAAATAGTAAAGGAAGGATAAATTTGAGGGGTGTAGTAAAATCATTCCAAATTCAATGCTACTAACTTCCTATATGATATACCAGCACCACCTTTCATTACACTTTTGTTATTATATGGGTTATGTACATGGGTTATGCCTGAAGGTACATGAAGAGTACATGGGAGATGACTGAAGGTGGATTAACTATTTATTGTATTAAATGCTTTTTGACAAATCATACTGTCGTTCCGATGTAGAAAATACAGCAGGGTAAATATAATCTATTAATACTTCGGTATCATAATATTAAAGTTTCGTTACTCATGGTCATGTTGTTTCTATTACCTACTCTAGGCAATGGGTGCTCTACAGCAGCATCACACATCACTGCTGGTGGATCTCAGCAACAAGCCTTACTACTTCACCTTCCTAGACATCAACATACCCCCGTCTCAAGGCTACGTTGCAGGCTCAACAAGTGCTCTAGTTGCAGTGTCGGGTGACACGATTTGTCCCATACCGACCCTCAAACACGACGCCACCCGAACCGCTGAGCGCATGCAGAGAATCGCCTCTCCCACAGCGAGCTCCACGGCATCGCTCAATTTGCCCACCGTGAGTGACCAAGTTACGTTGACAACCTCACAGACAAGTGGAAATGTGTATGCTTGAAAACTTGAACAGACACAGTTGATGGTATTGTGGGCGAAGAAAATGTGGGTGAAAATGAGAAGTCACGTAACACGTAAGTTGGATCCATAATCAAAGACAATATTCAAGATGTGTGGAGTATGTGATGAAAACACCGAGCTGGTAAAGTGCAAAAGACCCTTTCACATCTCGTGATTATAAATTTGTGTGAAGTATGCTTTGAATTTTGTTATTAGGAGTTATTTTCCATTAAGGTTTGTATACCACTGTACTATGTTCTCAGTGGACCGAGTTTATTGGAATGTGCGTTCACTTTGAGTTTCAACAAGTAAGAAATGTTCTACACAATGTTCTACAAAATGTTCTACTGAGCCTGTTGTTATGAGAGCATTTGCTAATTATGTTGTTTTTGGTTCGCCTGGAGAGTAGAGCGGAAGCGAGTCGGCCATTTACAGCATCCTTCTGACGGCACTCCAGCTAGCGCACTTACAGGAGCAACAGCAACTTTTGCAGCCTAGTGAGTGTTAAGTTTTGTACGAACAACATCATACATCAAGCGTCTCATTCTCAGCTTCAGTATCAGGCACTGCTAGCACATCAAGGCGCTGATGGAGGCTTCAAGTTCTTCAGGTAACTTTTCAATTATTTTATTGTATAGTAAATAAAATAATGAAGCAGCAACTAAATAACCGGTAGTGACCGAAGTCATTTATTTTATTTAAGATGCCGTTTTATTTAAGCCGGTTAAGCATTCCTCTTTTCATGTCGTGAAAGATCAATAGTATGCCATTAAATGTAAATAGTACGGGTGGACAGAACTCATAGGAAAAATGATTGGAGTGTTTATTACTCAATATCAATTAAATATACACTCTAATAAATTACCATATTTTTATGTTCACTCAGTCAGAGTAAATCACCATCTTGCGTTTGGTTGAGCGCGACTGCTGTGCGCGCTCTGCACGAGCTCTCCACTGTAGCGCCCCACCTCGTCTACGTTGATCCCCAAACCAAGGATCGCGCACTCAGGTGGGATAAGGTGTAATGCACTACCAGTGTTTCCCGTCAGCTAACGACTTCGAAGTGGTCTTTTGTGTACAAACCTGATTGATTTTGCGCCGTACTAATGGCTAGGCTCTCCGTTATGACTGGATTATGTGCGATGCTCTGGTGGTTCATGCTAACCCTATGCCAACATTGTGTAGACGCTCGTGCTGGACAGAAATTGTGAAGCGCTACATTACTTACACTAATAGTGGATTAACATGGTGAATATAATTCTGACCAGAATATTGAAGCTTCAAAAATACTTAACCTATTAGTGATTCAGTCGCTCTCTGTCATTTCCAATGACAATAAATGTTATATGACGGACTGAAGTCTTTAGCCTCCTAATAACAGTCCCTTCATTTTCTTATTTATTAGTGAATTTTGACGGAACAAATGAACAAAGAAAACATATTCACACCTCCAGTTCACGCTAGTTGTTCGACAATGGTTTAATTTTTGACAAGAAATTCAGAACACTAGAAAACATGACCATCTTTATTGCCTTTAAAGATAATTAATTATACATTTTTAATTCAACTTTTCCATTTAAAATGCCAAATTTTTCTCTATAGTTTCTTCAATTATAATAATCTTAATAATCATACTATCTTATGAAATGCCTAGATTTTAAACCTAAGTTAGATGCAGTCTTGATTACATTTGACCATCATAATTATGAAATGCCGTGATTATAAACCTAATATTGATACAATGTTGGTTACATTTGACCATCATAATTACTTATGATACAACTAGAAATTTATCACACCAGATTTGTACTATCTCATCAAACGAGTTTCGGGGCGTGGTGGGAGCCTGGCAGTGTGATAGGGGCTCGACAGTTGCAGCCTTCATCGTACAGCTTCGCTAACGAGACCACGAACGGCCTCAACCTTACCACTTCTGCACACACCCTCCTACAGCTCCTCACTCTCACGCAGCTGCCTTCTGTGAGTCCCTGCAATTCTCTCCTCGAACTAAAAGGACCTGGTTAAAATTCTTCTCAACAATGCTACAGCTGATTCCTCTCGTAAATATGGTATTTTTTTTATTCGAAATTACCTTTATTTTCATTTTTTCTCTTTAGATTCTCAAGCAGCAGCTATTTATCTACTCGCGTAGTTGATCTAAAAATTCTAAATTAAGCTTGGATGAATAGAATATTGTTCAATTTACGAGCTGCGCACCGAATTACAGTCGCTAATAGAGTTTGAAAACAGAAGTAGTGAGTAGTAAGAAGAAGTAACAGAAGTAACTCTGAAGTAACAGATTTTTTCACTATTAGCAAAATTTTACAATTTTCATTGGCCAGCCCCTGGACGAGAGGGTGGCGTCGGCCATATTGCGAGGCCGGAGTTGGCTGGAGCACAGCCTGCGTAAAGTGGAGCGCGCATCTCGACCGCTGGAAGCCGCGCTTGTTGCCCTCGCGCTCCACGAGGCGAAATCGCCGTTAGCTGAAGCTGCTAAACAGTGATGATTTGTTACAAATAAATGCTAGCGAATGAATGAGCACACAAGTCAGTTTAGTGCCTCAAAAGAGTGATAATTTGTTATAAATAAATGTATGGGAATGAATGAGTACACAGGTAAGCTTAGTGCCTCATAACAGTGATAATTTATTATTAATAAATGCTAGCGAAGGTATGAGTAAACAGGTCGGTTTAGTGCCGCCAAACAGTGATAATTTGTTATGAATAATTGCTGGCGAATTGATAAGTATACTGTACATGTCAGTTTAGTGCCTCAAAACAGTGATAATTTGTTATAAATAAATGCTAGCAGATAAATGAAGTTGGGTCAGTTTACACTTGTCAGTTTAGTTTAGTCACTTTAGTGCGTCAAAATTTTGATGGTGAGGATCATTCGTATTCGTGGATTCTTATTTGTGGATACATGAATACGAATGCATGAGTGCACAGGTCTCTCGAGTGCTTCAAAACATTGGTAATTATAATAAAAACGTGAATGCGAATAGATGAGTACACAAGTTCGTTATCCTTCCAACCATTATGGATCTTTGAACCATATAAACCTGATTTAAGCATATTAACCGCATTAACAATCAGTATGAAAATCCTTCCAATACTCCAAGTAAGCATTCGAGTAAATCCTGACACGAATGATGTTGCGGAAGCGCGCGCGCGCAGAACTCATGCATAAAATCATCCATCTCTGCTATAATTCATCAGCCTTTATTAGCGCCCGTTAATATATTATTTTTAAGCTTCAGGCAGCGAACAAATGCACAGCACAAACAAATGTACAAACTCATGCTGTAAAAATTGCAACGGATAAATACCTATTATAAGGTGATACTGCAGCCACTAACGGCTCTGGAATATTTTGTCTACTGGGCATATAGACAACGTTAATTCCATCTCAAAATAAACGTGCCCATTCAATCAGTCTACGGTATTCAAACGTGCATCGTTTTACTTCAAAATCTGAATTAAATGGATAAGAAAATGGACTGTAAATTCGTCATGGTTGCATTGAAAACCGTCCGGAAAACAGCTCTAGTATCAGTTAAAATCCTAAAAAAGCTTCATGTTAAAATTAGATTGAATAGATTGAATATTTTATTCGATTGGATTTTAATTTTACTTGGCCCATTTATCTGGAAATTAAGCTTTTAACCTGTAGCTGTGTATTGATTTTCCTGTTTGTTATACATGCATTCGTGAATTTTTTGAACTAACAATTAAAGAAGTCTTCGGAACGATTTCAATGAAATTCTAAAAAAAATATTTTAATTTTTTGCAATAAAACGTACACTACCGCTTCATATGCGATTCAAGCAAATTAATGCTATACTTGAGTGAATAATAGAAGCGATGTGCCATCTGTAAAACTTTGAGTTGATAGGTATCACTCAAAAGATTTTGGTCCTGGTAAACTGTCCTAAGCAAACTAAGAAAGGCGATCTAGTTAATTAAATCTCAGTTTAAATGTCCGTAGAGTAAAACTAAAAAGCTGTCATGCTACTTAGATTTAGATATTTTCTTAAAATTTCTACACCACGAAAAACTCATAGTTATACAACTTTATAGTTATTGAAACGCTTAGTGCGATTCAAAGTTGACGTGGTTGAAGGATGTTAACTCGCTGTCTAGAGTTCAATGAATAAAATGAATACGTGATACTGGATCAATAGCGATTTGGAGTTTGATAACACATTTCGTTCCTATTAACCGTCGATTAGAATGAAAAATAGCATTTGGACAATAATAATATTATATATTATCCATCATGACCTGTGATGAAATTATATTTTGTTGACAAATCGTCCTCTTTTTTGGCTGCAGGACACACTGGCAGCGTGGGAGGCACTGCAGCAATACAGCATCAAGATGGGCACCGCGCGGGACACTCAAATTTCAGTCACAGTAGAGCCGCTCGTCGACCCTCCAGCTGGCAAGCTTACCGGCCACTCCCCCGGCCACTACGATCAAGAGGTGAGCCTTTATGCTGAGTACATTGTATCTGGCTTCGAATTTATGTTACCTACTACCTTTTAAATCCACACCGGTGACCATTAGAGGAAGAAACTTCTCTTGCGATCCTATAGTCGTTCCAACTTTTTTTTTACCTTCGATGGTAACTAGCAACACAAATACAACTTTTTACTGGAGGTTAGGACGCTTGAAACTTATGATGCTCCCGGTTTTATTCATCAGTAAATGACTAAAATTTTGGGTTTTGCTCGCAGAAACAAAATTTTTCATTTTAGGTAATTAATTCATTGGTTGCAAAATAAATAGTTTATAAAATTCACCTTTCGCGAGAATAGCGTTCTGGTTTTTAATTTATTCTTCAGTTTTAAAAATAACGTTCTAGTTTCTGCCTTTCATTTTACTTCTTCGGCAGATATTCACGCAAAAGTACAATATCACTGAATAACTTGCTCTCACTTCCATGTCGAGCACACAGCCAAGAGTTAGATGAGAATACCGCCTTCCTAACTGGCCAAAAATGCTCCTCGCTTCAGTTTCATAGAGCCGCCGGAAGACCATAATTTAATCCGCTATTCTTCAAGTTTTATTCGTTAATATTGGAATAGGATATTCACTGATATATAATTTGTGTACATATCTGATTGAATAAAATGTTGTGATTATGTATGTGTTTGTGAATGTATGAGAGTTTATTCCAAATTTTTACTGACAACACAAATGTTGAACTCATCTTGTGTCTTTTTGAATGTTTCCGACCCAAGCAAGAGCACATAGCAACGTTCATTAGTTGCTTATATGACAGTGATGAACTTATTATTTATGGCTCTTTTACATCAGGTAATGCGTGGACAGTTCTTCACAGGTACTACTTCATGAGGCAAACATTGACCAGCACAACGCGATCCATGTTGCATGTCATGAACTATTTTCTGAAGTTCGTGTTTTTGAAATTTAAAAAAAAAACTTTCATCAGAAGCAACTTATGATTATATTTGATTAAAAAGCTTTGTACTCTATAAATCTTCAATTTCCATCTTGCTTACCAGTTTTCTGCAGCCCTAGTTTATTTATTTTGATTGAAATATTCTTCTCACAATTGCGCCCGTTCCCCGCAGCAGCTGTATGGTTCACTAATTGATGAAAAAAGTAAGAGTCCCATCAACTTGACCTTCACCTTCAGGTGCCGTCACACACGTTCCACATCACGAACAGTAACCTGCTACATAAGTCAAACTGTCGCAGCGCAGCGTCAACTTCTTCTTTGATCAGGTTCGATTCTCGGGAAATTGTGAGGTAAATAATTATTATGATATTATGTATCGTATATTTCATGAAAGATTTAGTGAGATCAGTTTATCTATGTTTATATTAATGGTTTTTAGCAAATGCGAGCTGGAGGAAAGGGGGAAAATGACATATGAAGAACTATAATAATAAATGAAAGATAAATACAAGAAAACAATATATAAACCTTTGAAAATATTATTGAAAGGCGATCCCTAACACCGATAATATTTTCGACCTCTATGGGCGCAGCTTGACGGCAGCAACACTTGCGTGGAGTTGGTGGTGGAGCGTTGGTTCCCTGTCGCGAACTTGACCAGCAAACTTCCCGTGACGGTATACGAGTACCACGCGCCTGGTGAGTTTCCTTTACGTAGATTGGTAGTAACTTTCAACCACTAATCGAGTATATTCAGTAAAAATTCTGAGTATATTCAGTAAGAACTTCTGAGTATATTCAGTAAGAACTTCTGAGTATATTCAGTAAACACTTCTGAGTATATTAAGTAAGAACTTCTGAGTATATTCAGTAAGAACTTTTGAGTATATTCAGTAAGAACTTCAGAGGATATTCAGTAAACACTTCCGAGTATATTCAGTAAGAACTTCTGAGTATATTCAGTAAGAACTTCTGAGTATATTCAGTACAACCTTCTGAGTATATTCAGTAAAAACTATATGAGTATATTCTGTAAAAAGTTCTGGGTAAATTCAGTAAAATTTCAATCTGTGAAAGTTTCCTTAACGTTATTCTTTTATTTTTTCTGAAATTATCTATCCGTGAAAATTAATAACTATCGGTTTTCAAAATGATTTCTTAAAACTCCAGCTCTACTCAACTACTCTCAAATGTCGATGAAAGCATCAACGTAAGCGTATGCACTGCATGTCGCATTTGAAAAATTTAGAATATTTCATTATTGTTTTCTTTTTTTTTTTGGTAGTCATCAAACGCCTTATTTTTCTTTGCCCACGATTGCGTGGATTAGAATTCCTTCTTACAAATCGGAAATAACGCATACCTAATAATAAAAAAATATATACTAACGAAAAATATACCGCTGCGAAAAAATATACTAACATTCATTTATAGTAATGAAATTCTTGTTGAATAGTGACTTCTGTAAACGCGATCTCAATTTTATTATTCATTGCGTTTTATTTTATCTCTCCAGAGCTAAAAACCATTGAATTCTTGGACATGTCTGAGGTGACCTTCGACATCTGCCAAGTCTGTGGTTCCTACCAGTGCCCCAACTGCCCTGAACCATCTTACTATCTCAGCTCCTCGACCACCGGAGCGCCCAATGGTTTATTGCTTCTTCTTGTCACAATTTCGAGTGTTATCCTGTCAAGCTTCCCCTTATGTTCACTTACGTCATCCGCGAAGAAAATGTACAAGCTGTATTATTCTCTGTTTAGAATTTACATTGTCCATTTACTGAAACTTGTGTTAGCAACCGCTGTTGAGTCAGTGTTGATCATTTACAAAAGACGCAAAGTCGACAGCGGCTTATTGATCCCCTTTGGACTAACTGCAATTAACTCACTTTACTCATGGGTGCTAAGCTCGTCTTTACTCAGCTCCCTTGAGATAAGAGCTCTGCAGGACATCATATTTCGCTGTCAACGTTTATGGAGTGCGCCTAAAGACAAATGGTTTGGCTCTGCAGCTAAGGCCGAAGAGCAGCAGCTCAATGGCACCAAATCCAGAAATAGAAGATAATGTGCTCATTTTTGTACTATAGATCCGTAACGGTAAGAAAAGAACCTCAACAGTGTGTGAAGTATAAGGATAGATGTAATAAAAATTTATATGCTGGTTTCAGCTGAAATCCATGTTTATAATTGGGAATATCGTGGTTTTTGTAATTATGATTATCTGAATTAAGAATCGAAGTTACAATCGCGTAAGTGAGCCATTCCTTTGGAACATTTTTGCATTCAGTAAAAATTTTACTGATGTTTTCTGCGTACAACTCTAACAGGAAATTTATTAATTTTTCCCGCTTTACATCAGCATTCAAGACAGTTTTTTTTGGAATTTTATGAGTTCGAAACTGTCATCATCATTCCATCCGATGTCCCATCCTGCAAATTATATGAGGTTGTAATAGTTGATGAAGGTTTTTATTACCTTGATTTGATCTCTAAATTTATAAAACACTTTGAAAGTTTGATCACTTGAAGAGATTTGTTGCTCCTCAAAGGAGATCGCTCCCCATTGTCTACAGTGAGGTGATTCCTTTATCATTATATAATTAATATAATGATGTCCTTAATAGAGGCGATACGCATTCATCCTTCATATTTATAATTATATATCTAGTCAATCGAACTCCATATACCATTGACGCGTTTATTGTCATTATTGTACAGTACATTAATATTTTTATTTAATAAGTTCCTGAATAAGTTCCTTCCTAAGTACCCTATAATTTTTTCCTGATTCTATAACGTTTGTCTCAAAACAAATACGTCACACACATAAGTTATCACAGTAGAAGCAATTTTCAATGTTTGAGCCGTACTCGCAGGATAAATTATCCAGATTGTTTGTTTGTTTATTTATCAGAGGAACCATCTTTATTTATTCTTCTCGTGTTTTTAAGCACCTTTTGAAATTAAAAATTCGTATCCTTTTGTAAAATTTTGCCACATGAGCAAAATGGTTAAACAATAACGGGTTTGTCTTGTGTAAATTTTATTATTTTTAAGCTGTAATTAATGATGCAAAAAATCACAATTATTTTTAAAATGCAAAAAAATATTATTAAAGTCTTGCTTTATTCCAATCGATATTATATATTTAATACCAGACGCGCGTAAAAAAACTAAATCTTGGAAGAAGCAAGTAAATTTAATTAACAATGCACTTTTTTGTTCTGATGGCGAATCGTTAATTTCAGACTATTTTTCACTATCCATCGAAAAGTAAGTCACTTTTCATTATATTAATAAATTTGTCATCTAAGTTTTACGCCTGAATGCACCTACAATAAAATAATGAATTTCAACAGCCATGCAATGGATTCTGGTAAAGTTCAATTGTTTCAGCTAAGCAATGCATGTTCAGAATCGGGCAAATTTGATGTAATATTTCCACTGAATCCTTTTGCTGCATATTCTGGATTACTTGACCATTAGGTCAAGTAGGTTGCCTTAAGTTTAATTAACGAGAGCAATGGCCTTTTCATGTCAGTCATCACCATGCTTTGGTTACTTGTATTTGTGATTCATGTGATTGAAGGACACCCAGTTTAAGAAGTGAATTGTGTTCAAAATGTAATTGCAGAGCTCGTGAGATAAGAGTTCTTATTGAGGCTCATTTATAGCACGGAATTGTATATATATATAGCAGTATTGGCTTACTAAAATCCTTTAGTGCTAGCGGGAAATGAAACAATTTTTTTGTTCGATTAGTTCAGTTATTTACAGGATCATTACATAATGTAAGAATTAAATTTTAGCATCTTCATCATACGGAACTGATACTCGTAAATTTGTAGCGAAAGCTGGTCAAACGCAATGGTTTATTATATGCATTGGAGGTGCTACTTGAATTTCACCAACATTGTAGTCGTAGCTTCTATAGCTCTATGATAAATCTCTCATATGTCTTGCCATTTAGGTATTACCTCAATACTATGAAGCGCTAGTTGGAGCGATAGCATAATATGTCTTCTTGTATATAAATCTCCAATAGTCTATCTATATGTATAATTCAAAATAAATTTTGTTACGAAAACTTGCGGTTTTTTTAAACATAAACTACCTCTGAACGCATTTTAGGTTGGATAGCTGAGTCTTTTAGGCTACTGAAGTAGATACAATGAAATCTTAGAATAAAGAATATGATGTGATCCATCGGTTTTCTCTACAAATAGATAGCAAATTCGAATAACCTTTTGAAGCTAATAAGTGGATCAATACATTAGGCATATCCATCATATGGTGTATTGTGTTTTGATTAATGATTAAAATGTTTAACATAAGCGTTTTCAGAATTATCATGGTTTGCTCTAATCGTACCTTTAAAAAAAGGCACAAATTTCTAAATTTTAGCCGTTAACTAGGCCTTTGTAAATTTAATATTTTTGCTACGGTGTCGAACAGGGTTAGAAATACCCAATTTAACTCGCTTCTTAGCATTCCGGAGACGATTATTAACATTTTCGCTATAGTCGTAAGTTTTTCTTGCACCTTATAAGCACGCTCGGCCCGCAACGATTTAAAATCTTTGTTCATGATCGAATAAATCTTGTCTTGGGAGGAAGTTAAGATGGATATCTGGCAGCTGTATAAAGGAAAACATTATTGCTGACAGCGGTGACACATCGCATGAAAATATCAATTGATCATCAATACTACATCATCTATTTATACTACAAAAATTAAATCTAGTTTCATTTTTGTAGTATGAATTTCGAAGGGCAGAGTTACCCAAAGGACAAATAGATTTAGTACTAAGATCATATGCACCAAGCTTAATAATTTATACAGTCGATCATTTGACATTAACAGCTAGTCGTAGTAAAGAACCTAAAATTCGGAAGATCAACAGTATCATAGATGGATTATCAGATTTGAGGAGTATCACATTGCTTTGGAGTATCAGATTTAAATTTTAAAATTAATTTGATCCTTATAATTTTAAGGAAATTGAAAGATGAATTTCTGCTTGATTTCAAGTTGCTAGCTGTTAGGCGACAAATTCAAACTTGAAGTAAAGTGGCCCTGTACGTGCTTGACTGCTATATCTGCTTCAGTCGATTACTTGCAAAAAAAGTTCATATGAGCGCCGCAAAATATTTGATACTCGTATCAATAAAATACGCTCAGAATAGATTATGATACAGATATATGGAATTTATGAACATAAATATTCCATCATACATTTTTGTATTCGCGTAAAACAAATCATAAATAGAAAACGTTAATACATATGGAAATAACGTTGCAAACTATTTAGTAGCTTTTTCACTGTGAATGGACTCAGAACCCAATCTCACTGTGGGACTGGGTTCTCAGCCGGCGAAATCTCCGTACAACTTATTTTTCTCCCAGAATAATTTAATTCTTAAGAATAAATTAGGAATTAGTTGAGTTCATCGCCTCGCTGCTTTGGTGCTGCTGAATGCGATGAGAATGATGACGCATTAGATTATTTCTGTCCGTGACTCATCGATTACTGACGCTGATATTAATGTCGATGCCAAAAATATTAAATTGAATGCAAATGTCAAATTACGTGTCAAAGCTGTGATGCTGTAGCTCATCATGCTCAGAGCTTTCACCGATTAATTTATCATTACCGATCGAATATCCATTATGATCAAAATTACCATTATGATAACATAGTTCTGAAACTAATCTTATTTTTACTCCATCTTTAGGTGTGGCTAATTTTTGCCTTCATCATGAAAACAAATTGATTCTGGATACATCTGTCTCCACTTCAAAGCCTAGGATTACTCATCTAACATGAACTTTGTGCTAAATTTGAGCGGAAACACTTCCGTTAATGCATACATTCGAGATGCGAAAAAGAAAATATTTCAATATTCAACTACTTATAGGCGACTGATATACGTTCTGTTCAGCATTGACTCAACTGCAACCGATAGAAGTTAATTGGAAGGTACGACAACGGCTCCGGTTTTCATGGAATTGGTTTGTCCACGCTTTAGTCAGTGCCGGAAGTTCAAAATTTAAGCGATCAGAGCCTGCTTTGACTGGGCACCTTCTCTATATCAGTTATTTAGACTTTCTTCAGACAGAAATTGTGTTGGAGAGTAATTTCATATAAAACATGTTTTTATGATCAAAAACTAGTTGTGAATTTGCCGGAGTTCAGATTGTTCTGATGCCATTAATAGAATGTTGATGAAGCGATAAAACAATAAAAAAGTAAAACTTGTCTGCAAGTTTCCATATGAAATGAAATATTTTCATTCAATACCAAATTGCATGAATCGAACGCATATTTTAATTAGTTCGACAAGCTAAACTAAACTTTACTCACGAACGAACGAAGTCGTCCCTGCTTCACAATATACCAAACGTAACTCGTTTGATATTCCCGAACGAAAACTTTTTAAGGTTATTAGTAGGAATAGCATAAATAAACCAAAGAATTTAGTGATGATACCGTATTGAATACTTACAATTTATTGACTTTTCAATCAATTTTTAAATCTTAAGAAATTCACCCTGCTCATTTATGCTTAAAGTATGCATAATCCATTAGCAGATGAGTCTAGCGCGAAATAAGTGCGAAGATGCCTAAGGTGGTTCAACCCAACGGCTCCAAGCTAACAGAATTTCGCTTCCTAAATCATTTTCACAGATGACTATCAAAGACATATCATGGCTAGTTATTATGGAATAGGAGTTTTTCTCTATTTAACAGTTACCATCGCACATCAATTGCGGCCATTATGGGCACAGTAGCAGAACGGGCAAGCCGAACTTAAGGTTCGGGTTCAGAATCTCGACGAGTATCGAACAATAATTGGGGTGACTTGGGAGAAGGCAGCTATGCTCAAAGGTGGAGCATCAGCATGCAGGAAAATTAGCTGCATGTATATTCCTATGTTCTATGGGGATGCATAAGGTCTTAAAATCAATAGCTGTGGCCTGAGATAAGCCATTGATAATAATCCATCGATGTTACACTGTACGTCGATCAATCCTAACGAGTAAAACCATTGGTACACTACAGACAAATTTAATTACCACTGATGCTCAGAATTCATTCAAAGTATGAGATTTTGTGAAACAAGTATTTTTTATTATTAATGTCTGATTTTTCATTCAATGTTCAAGTATAATTTGTTTTTATCAGACACCGGTAAAAAGATTTAAATTTCTCATTCACGACTCTTTGATTCCAGTCTATGGTCTGAAATAATTGTTGTTGTTGTTAGAGATCCGAATCAGTTGCGATGAATTGCAACTTATTGAGTCTGCTGTATTTTTGCATAACTCAGAGAACATACATAGGCCAAAGCAGTTGAAAATTGAAAGATCTGTAATTCACTGCAAAATAATCATGATCTTGGATAATACGACAATTTGTAAATTTTGTAGATGTCTTCCGTTGCATAAATAGTTTGTTATGATTTCGTCAAAAGAATCAAGTTGCAGAAAACGGCAGTCTATTGAGTACACTAGATACTCAAAACGCGGTTTCTAGCTTCATCGCCATAGCATGGATGATGGGGACTAGTTTCTTGTTATTGTATATTAGGTGAAACGCGCAGCAGGATTTAGAACATGAGGGAATAAGAACACACACATATAACGTGTGTTTCAGGTGCCAAACGTCTCATTTGAATTATATTATTATATTACAATCGCTAACTGAAACATAATATTTGCTAGACGCGGAAGCGGTGGATGGAATGTATAGACACTGTGTCAGCGTCAACAACATCACGTGAGCGGCCTTTCCCACTACACTCGTCTGTGAGCGGAAATACTATGTCTATAACAGTGCTTGGCACTTTTAATAAGTCCTCCCCAGTAGTGGAACAACAGCAGCAAAGTTGCACTCATTGTAAGAGTTACCACAAACCGATGGCCGAAGCTAGTCTTAGC